GATGATACGTGTGTTGTGCATATACACGGACTACCTGATGATACATGTGTTGTACATATACACGGACTACCTGATGATACGTGTGTTGTACATATACACGGACTACCTGATGATACATGTGTTGTACATATACACGGACTACCTGATGATACATGTGTTGTACATATACACTAACTACCTAATGATACGTGTGTTGTACATATACACTGACTACCTGATGATACGTGTGTTGTGCATATACACGGACTACCTGATGATACATGTGGTGTACATATACACGGACTACCTGATGATACATGTGTTGTGCATATACACTGACTACCTGATGATACATGTGTTGTACATATACACGGACTACCTGATGATACGTGTGTTGTACATATACACTGACTACCTGATGATACATGTGTTGTACATATACACGGACTACCTGATGATACATGTGTTGTACATATACACTAACTACCTAATGATACATGTGTTGTACATATACACTGACTACCTGATGATACATGTGTTGTACATATACACTGACTACCTGATGATACATGTGTTGTACATATACACTGACTACCTGATGATACATGTGTTATGCATTTACACGGACTACCTGATGATACATGTGTTGTACATATACACGGACTACCTGATGATACATGTGTTGTACATATACACTAACTACCTGATGATACATGTGTTGTACATATACACGGACTACCTGATGATACGTGTGTTGTGCATATACACGGACTACCTGATGATACGTGTGTTGTACATATACACTGACTACCTGATGATACATGTGTTGTACATATACACTGACTACCTGATGATACATGTGTTGTACATATACACTGACTACCTGATGATACGTGTGTTGTACATATACACTGACTACCTGATGATACATGTGTTGTACATATACACTAAGTACCTGATGATACATGTGTTGTACATACACACTAACTACCTGATGATACATGTGTTGTACATATACACTTACTACCTGATGATACATGTGTTGTACATATACACTAAGTACCTGATGATAAATGTGTTGTACATACACACTGACTACCTGATGATACATGTGTTGTGCATATACACTGACTACCTGATGATACATGTGTTGTACATATACACGGACTACCTGATGATACGTGTGTTGTACATATACACTGACTACCTAATGATACATGTGTTGTACATATACACGGACTACCTGATGATACATGTGTTGTACATATACACTAACTACCTAATGATACATGTGTTGTACATATACACTGACTACCTGATGATACATGTGTTGTACATATACACTGACTACCTGATGATACATGTGTTGTACATATACACTGACTACCTGATGATACATGTGTTATGCATTTACACGGACTACCTGATGATACATGTGTTGTACATATACACGGACTACCTGATGATACATGTGTTGTACATATACACTAACTACCTGATGATACATGTGTTGTACATATACACGGACTACCTGATGATACGTGTGTTGTGCATATACACGGACTACCTGATGATACGTGTGTTGTACATATACACGGACTACCTGATGATACATGTGTTGTACATATACACTGACTACCTGATGATACATGTGTTGTACATATACACTGACTACCTGATGATACGTGTATTGTACATATACACTGACTACCTGATGATACATGTGTTGTACATATACACGGACTACCTGATGATACATGTGTTGTACATATACACGGACTACCTAATGATACGTGTGTTGTACATATACACGGACTACCTGATGATACATGTGTTGTACATATACACTGACTACCTGATGATACATGTGTTGTACATATACACGGACTACCTGATGATACATGTGTTGTACATATACACTGACTACCTGATGATACATGTGTTGTACATATACACGGACTACCTGATGATACATGTGTTGTACATATACACGGACTACCTGATGATACGTGTGTTGTACATATACACGGACTACCTGATGATACATGTGTTGTACATATACACTGACTACCTGATGATACATGTGTTGTACATATACACGGACTACCTGATGATACATGTGTTGTACATATACACGGACTACCTGATGATACGTGTGTTGTACATATACACGGACTACCTGATGATACATGTGTTGTACATATACACGGACTACCTGATGATACGTGTGTTGTACATATACACGGAATACCTGATGATACATGTGTTGTACATATACACTGACTACCTGATGATACATGTGTTGTGCATATACACTGACTTCCTGATGATACATGTGTTGTGCATATACACTGACTTCCTGATGATACATGTGTTTTACATATACACTTACTACCTGATGATACATGTGTTGTACATATACACTGACTACCTGATGATACATGTGTTGTGCATATACACTGACTACCTGATGATACATGTGTTGTACATATACACTAACTACCTGATGATACATGTGTTGTACATATACACTGACTACCTGATGATACGTGTGTTGTGCATATACACTGACTACCTGATGATACATGTGTTGTACATATACACGGACTACCTGATGATACATGTGTTGTGCATATACACTGACTACCTGATGATACATGTGTTGTACATATACACGGACTACCTGATGATACGTGTGTTGTACATATACACGGACTACCTGATGATACATGTGTTGTACATATACACGGACTACCTGATGATACATGTGTTGTACATATACACTAACTACCTAATGATACATGTGTTGTACATATACACGGACTACCTGATGATACGTGTGTTGTGCATATACACTGACTACCTGATGATACGTGTGTTGTACATATACACGGACTACCTGATGATACATGTGTTGTACATATACACTGACTACCTGATGATACATGTGTTGTACATATACACGGACTACCTGATGATACATGTGTTGTACATATACACGGACTGCCTGATGATACATGTGTTGTACATATACACGGACTACCTGATGATACATGTGTTGTACATATACACGGACTACCTGATGATACATGTGTTGGTCATATACACTTACTACCTGATGATACATGTGTTGTACATATACACGGACTACCTGATGATACATGTGTTGTACATATACACCGAATACCTGATGATACATGTGTTGTACATATACACGGACTACCTGATGATACATGTGTTGTGCATATACACGGACTACCTGATGATACATGTGTTGTACATATACACCGAATACCTGATGATACATGTGTTGTACATATACACGGACTACCTGATGATACATGTGTTGTGCATATACACGGACTACCTGATGATACGTGTGTTGGTCATATACACTTACTACCTGATGATACATGTGTTGTACATATACACTGACTACCTGATGATACATGTGTTGTACATATACACGGACTACCTGATGATACGTGTGTTGTACATATACAGGGACTACCTGATGATACATGTGTTGTACATATAAACGGAATACCTGATGATACATGTGTTGGTCATATACAAGGACTACCTGATGACACATGTGTTGTACATGTGGGAGTTGGTGGGAGTGAGTGAGTTGGGATATGACATGTGGGAGTGGGTTTGGATGTGTCACGTGGGAGTGAGTGAGTGAGTTGGGACGTGCCGTGTGTGAGTGAGCTGGGATGTGTCATGTGGGAGTGTAACACGTGGGAGTGAGTGAGCTGGGATGTGTCATGTGGGAATGAGTGAGTTGGGATGCGACACGTTGAAGTGAGTTGGGATGTAACACGTGGGAGTGAGTTGGGATGCGACACGTGGGAGTGAGTTGGGATGTGACACGTGGGAGTGTGTTGGGATGCGACACGTGGGAGTGAGTGAGCTGGGATGTGTCATGTGGAAGTGAGTTGGGATGTGACGTGGGAGTTAGTGAGTTGGGATGTGACGTTGGAGTGAGTGAGTTGGGATGTGACACGTGGGAGTGAATGAGTGAGTTGGGATTTGACATGTGGGAGTGAGTGAGTTGGGATGTAACACGTGGGAGTGAGTGAGTGAGTTGGGATGTGAACATGTGGGAGTGAGTGAGTTGGGATGCGACACGTTGAAGTGAGTTGGGATGTGACACGTGGGAGTGAATGAGTTGGGATGTGACACGTGGGAGTGTGTTGGGATGCGACACGTGGGAGTGAGTGAGCTGGGATGTGTCATGTGGAAGTGAGTTGGGATGTGACGTGGGAGTGAGAGAGTTGGGATGTGACACGTGGGAGTGTGTTGGGATGCGACACGTGGGAGTGAGTGAGCTGGGATGTGTCATGTGGAAGTGAGTTGGGATGTGACGTGGGAGTGAGAGAGTTGGGATGTGACACGTTGGAGTGAGTGAGTGAGTTGGGATATGACATGTGGGAGTGAGTGAGTTGGGAAGTGTCATGTGGGAGTGAGTGAGTTGGGATGTGTCATGTGGGAGTGAGTTGGGATGTGACATGTGGGAGTGAGTGAGTGAGTGAGTTGGGATGTGACATGTGGGAGTGAGTGAGTGAGTGAGTTGGGATGTGACATGTGGGAGTGAGTGAGTTGGGATGTGTCATGTGGGAGTGAGTTGGGATGTGACATGTGGGAGTGAGTGAGTGAGTGAGTTGGGATGTGACATGTGGGAGTGAGTGAGTGAGTGAGTTGGGATGTGACATGTGGGAGTGAGTGAGTGAGTGAGTTGGGATGTGACATGTGGGAGTGAGTGAGTTGGGATGTGTCATGTGGGAGTGAGTTGGGATGTGACATGTGGGAGTGAGTGAGTGAGTGAGTTGGGATGTGACATGTGGGAGTGAGTGAGTGAGTGAGTTGGGATGTGACATGTGGGAGTGAGTGAGTGAGTTGGGATGTGACATGTGGGAGTGAGTGAGTGAGTGAGTTGGGATGTGACATGTGGGAGTGAGTGAGTGAGTGAGTTGGGATGTGCAGCATGATGCAGACATTCTCAAAATGATACATACCTGAGGCTTCTGGCGTAGTCATACTGACGTACACTGGGCTGAAAGGGTAAGATAAATGGGGGTATACAAGGAAGTGTATCAGTCAATGCATCAGGTTAACTCTACGCTGAAAGGCTTGGAGACGCGTACACAATGACAGAAATATAAACATACATACAGTGCAGTGGTATTCATCCATTCATCCTATACCTATCCATCATCAATCCATCCAACCCCTCACTTACACCCACGTGTCACACCCCAACTCACTCACTCCCACATGTCACATCCCAACTCACTCACTCATCCACCAAGCCATCCTATACCTATCCATCATCCATCCATCCAACTACTCAATCACTCACCCTCCCATCAATCCTATACCTATTCATTCATCCATCCAACTACTTACTCACCCACCCATCCATCCTATACCTATCCATCATCCATCCATTCAACAACTCAATCACTCACCCTCCCATCAATCCTATACCTTCATTCATCCATCCAACTACTTACTCACCCATCCACCCATCCTATACCTATCCATCATCCATCCATTCAACTACTCAATCACTCACCCTCCCATCAATCCTTTACCTATCCATCATCCATCCAACTACTCAATCACTCACCCTCCCATCCATCCTTTACCTATCCATCATCCATCCATCCAACTACTCACTCACCCTCCCACCCATCCTATACCTATTCATTCATCCATCAAACTACTTACTCACCCACCCATCCATCTTATACCTATCCATCATCCATCCATCCAACTACTTACTCTGCCACCCATCCATCCTATACCTATTCATCATCCATCCATCCAACTACTCAATCACCCTCCCACCCATCCTATACCTATTCATTCATCCATCAAACTACTTACTCACCCACCCATCCATCTTATACCTATCCATCATCCATCCATCCAACTACTTACTCTGCCACCCATCCATCCTATACCTATCCATCATCCATCCATCCAACTACTCAATCACTCACCCTCCCATCAATCATATACCTATTCATTCATCCATCCAACTTCTTACTCACCCACCCATCCATCCTATACCTATCCATCATCCATCCATCCAACTACTCAAGCACTCACCCTCCCATCCATCCTATACCTATTCATCATCCATCCATCCAACTACTTACTCACCCACCCATCCATCCTATACCTATTTATCATCCATCCATCCAACTACTCAATCACTCACCCACCCATCCATCCTATACCTATTCATCATCCATCCATCCAACTACTCAATCACTCACCCTCCCATCCATCCTATACCTATTCATTAATCCATCCAACTACTTACTCACCCACCCATCCATCCTATACCTATCCATCATCCATCCATCCAACTACTCAATCACTCACCCTCCCATCCATCCTATACCTATCCATCATCCATCCATCCAACTACTCAATCACTCACCCTCCCATCCATCCTATACCTCTTCATCATCCATCCATCCAACTACTCAATCACTCACCCACCCATCCATCCTATACCTATTCATCATCCATCCATCCAACTACTCAATCACTCACCCTCCCATCCATCCTATACCTATTCATCATCCATCCATCCAACTACTCAATCACTCACCCTCCCATCAATCCTATACCTATTTACCCAGCACCCACCCTCCCACCAACCATCGTCCATCATCTCATAATAGCACCTTCCACCCATCCGTCCATACTCATCTAACATCCATCCATCCGAGTAAAGTTACCTGAGCGTTATTCCGATGTACTTATGTTCGATGTTGTAGCATGTGTTTCACATAGCCCCGCAGTCCTTGTCAAACTGACAAACATGTCGGTAACACTCGAGCTCACAAGTGACTTCGTTGTGCTGTTTCGGATCGCATGATGTGCATGCAGCCCTCGAATTCAATATGGTGCAAACTTCCGGCTTTTACACAGTAATATATTACCGGGGAAAATATCTGAAATATTTGAAATCGTTTGGATGATCAAAAACCGGGCAACATGTAACGGTATGTGTCTAGTAGTCACATATCTTTGTGTCCCGTGAAAATAGGGGTTAGAATTGATCTTGTCTTAAGAGGTGACTAACAGAATCGGGTGTCATCGTGACCCAATTGCGTACATCGATGCTCATGATGTCAATCAAGCATACACGCCGTAATATAACTGGAATACTGTTCAAAGCGGCGTTAAGCCAAACTCACTCACTCCTCCTACACCAGGCTGACACGCCATGATATAAATGGAATACTGTTCAAAGCGGCGTTATGCCAAACTCACTCACTCACCCCTCCCACATCAAACTGATACGCCGTGATATAACTGGGATACTGTTTAAAGCGGCATTAAGCCAAACTCACTCACTCCTCCCACATCACGCTGACACGCCATGATATTTCCAATCTGGAATAATGTACAAATCGGCGTTGAGCCCAACTCACTCACTCACTCCCAATCAACTTGCTTCGTTTGAATCTAATAAATGATAATATGCATGTATTTCAGAACCACGTAAGAGCTATACCCAGCAGCAACTGTGTCATCATTGTGTATGTGAGGTGAGGTGAAATTGGGTTTAACGTCGCGTCCAAGATTATTGCACTTATATAGCGACGTGCATGTATGTGTGTGTGTTTGTGTGGCTGCTTGTACTAGTCCGGACTGATGCCGATTTATAGTGCTAGCTCACTGAGATACCATGCCGCAGTTTAACATGAAAACCCCACTCAGACACAGTATACTGACTCCGAGCCGACCAGTCCTTGTTTTAGCCCCTTAATGCCGAGCGCCAGACAGGGTAACAACAAGTACCATCTTTTAACGTCTTTTGATATGATGCGGCCGGGGATCGAAGCCCGGACCTTCCGCTCTCCGGGCGGACGCTCTACCACTAGACCACGGAGGCGGTCTTCATTGTGTATGTACTTGACAATATGCATGATGTGTTCATATCACCTTATGTCAGCATGATGTTAAGACATTATTGTCTCTGCTTGTGGGATGTTTTTTTAAAATTCATTTCTCAGTATCTTTGCATGATGTTCACAAAAGTAACTGATTGTCTGCGTGGTGGTTTCGCAATCTCTGTATGACTGCATGACGTTGACAACTTACTGTATTGTGTGCAACCATCATGTTAGCATATTGGGCTAACCATGTGTACGTGTTAATTCACTGGGTGGTTTCATAAACAAGTTGTTCTTCCTGTGTAAAAAAAAATCTGCTATCGTCTTCACAAACGGAGTCCTTTGATCACAAGGAAAAAGAAATTTGACGTGTCATGTTTTGTACAAAATGTATAAATGTAGTGAATCGAATGGGGAAGTGAAAACTGTCACAAGCAGCATAACTCCCTCGTTTTATGGCACATGAAATATAAAATGTTGGTCGCCGGACGCTCCTGTTGGACGTCGGACACTCTTGTTGGTAGTCTGACTCTCTTGCTGGTCGACGGACACTACTGCAGGTCGCCGGACAATCTTGTTTGTCGTTGGACACTCTTGCTGGTCGTCGGACACTCTTGCTGGACGTCGGACACTCTTGCTGGTCGTCGGACACTCTTGCTGGTCGACGGACACTACTGCTGGTCGTCGGACACTCTTGTTAGTCGCCAAACACTCTTGCTGGTCGTCGGACTCTCTTGCTGGTCGTCGGACGCTGTTGCTGGTCGTCGGACACTCTTGCTGGTCGTCGGACACTCTTGTTGGTCGTCGGATACTCTTGTTGAAATTTTGAAACTCTTGCTGGTCGCCGGACACTCTTGTTGGTCGCCGGACACGCTTGTTGGTCGCCGGACACTCTTGCTGGTCGCCGGACACTCTTGCTGGTCGTCGGACGCTCTTGCTGGTCGTCGGACACTCTTGTTGGTCGTCGGATACTCTTGTTGAAATTTTGAAACTCTTGCTGGTCGCCGGACACTCTTGTTGGTCGCCGGACTCTCTTGCTGGTCGCCGGACACTCTTGCTGGTCGTCGGACTCTCTTGCTGGTCGTCATACACTCTTGCTGGTTGACGGACACTCTTGCTGGTCGTCGGACACTCTTGCTGGTCGTCGGACACTCTTGCTTGTCGTCATACACTCTTGCTGGTCGCCGGACCCTCTTGCTGGTCGTCGGACACTCTTGCTGGTCGTCGGACACTCTTTTTGGTCGACGGACACTCTTGTTGGTCGACGGACACTCTTGCTGGTCGCCGGACACTCTTGCTGGTCGTCGGACACTCTTGCTGGTCGACGGACACTCTTGTTGGTCGACGGACACTCTTGCTGGTCGCCGGACGCTCTTGCTGGAAGTCAGAAACTCTTGCTTGTCGTCAGACACTCTTGCTGGTCAACAGACACTTTCTGCTGGTCGTTGGACACTCTTCCTGGAAGTCGGACAATCATGCCAGTCGTCGGACACTCTTGCTTGTCGTCAGACGCTCTTGTTGGTCGCCGAACACTTTGCTGGTCGACGGACACTCTTGCTGGTCGACGGACACTTTTGCTGGTCGTCGGACACTCTTGTTGGTCGCCGGACACTCTTGCTGGTCGTCGGACACTCTTGTTGGTCGCCGGACTCTCTTGCTGGTCGACGGACACTCTTGCTGGTCGTCATACACTCTTGCTGGTCGACGGACACTCTTGCTGGTCGACGGACACTCTTGCTGGTCGACGGACACTTTTGCTGGTCGTCGGACACTCTTGTTGGTCGCCGGACGCTCTTGCTGGTCGTCGGACACTCTTGTTGGTCGCCGGACTCTCTTGCTGGTCGACGGACACTCTTGCTGGTCGTCATACACTCTTGCTGGTCGACGGACACTCTTGCTGGTCGTCGGACACTCTTCCTGGTCGTCATACACTCTTGCTGGTCGACGGACACTCTTGCTGGTCGTCGGACACTCTTGCTGGTCAACAGACACTTTCTGCTGGTCGTCGGACACTCTTGCTGGTCGTCGGACACTCTTGTTGGTCGTCGGACTCTCTTGCTTGTTGTCAGACACTCTTGTTGGTTGTCAGACACTCTTGCTGGTCGCCGGACACTCTTGCTGGTCAACAGACACTTTCTGCTGGTCGTTGGACACTCTTGTTGGAAGTCGGACATTCTTGCTCGTCGTCAGACACTCTTGTTGGTAGTCGGACACTCTTGCTGGTCGCCGGACATTCTTTCTGGTCAACAGACACTTTCTGCTGGTCGTCGGACACTCTTGTTGGAAGTCGGACACTCTTGCTTGTCGTCAGACACTCTTGTTGGTTGTCAGACACTCTTGCTGGTCGCCGGACGCTCTTGGTGGTCAACAGACACTTTCTGCTGGTCGTCGGACACTCTTGTTTGAAGTCGGAAACTCTTGCTCGTCGTCAGACACTCTTGTTTGTAGTCGGACGCTCTTGCTGGTCGCCGGACACTCTTTCTGGTCAACAGACACTTCCTGCTGGTCGTTGGACACTCTTGTTGGAAGTCGGACACTCTTGCTTGTCGTCAGACACTCTTGTTGGTAGTCGGACATTCTTTCTGGTCAACAGACACTTTCTGCTGGTCGTCGGACACTCTTGTTTGAAGTCGGAAACTCTTGCTCGTCGTCAGACACTCTTGTTTGTAGACGGACACTCTTGCTGGTTGTCGGACACTTTTGCTTGTCAGCTGGAACCAGTGTGACCCTACAAAGTGTATGTCTGGTCGACGTTAATATTGATGTTGTCGTGTCACGTTTAAAGCGCACTTTTTTAAAAAGCGCATGACAATATCGAACAATATATGAACAATATATCATTTTCATCGCTCAGGGGAATATGAAAGCCATTCAGCCTGTTAGGTGAAAGCATGTTCTGCATTCAAATTACCATCTCAACACGGGCTCGCCGATTGGTTGATTAATGTTATTGATCCCAATTGCGTGGATGGATAGTCATGATGTCAGTCACTGGTCCAGACTCGATTATTTACAGACCGCCGTCATATCGCTGGAACATTGCTGAGTGTGTCTTTAAACCACAGACAAACAAACAAACAGAAACTCACTCACCCACTCAGATTCCCCAAGAAGGTTGTGTGTTGCTTGACAAATTTTATATTTGGTCTTGTCAAGCTACACAGCGTCATCTCCCTTATTTGATTCGCTTGACACATTAGTCATTTGACTTACTGATCATCAGAGGCATTAAACTTCCCCTAGGTCTAGGCTGTATCGGGCCCAGGGTATCGGGCCAAGTGTGTAAACGATTTCAGGTGAGGTGAGGTGAAATGGGGTTTAACGTCGCGTCAAAGATTATTGCACTTATATAGCGACGTGCATGTACGTGTGTGTGTGTGTGTGTTTGTGTGGCTGCTTGTACTAGTCCGGACTGATGCCGATTTATAGTGCTAGCTCACTGAGATACCATGCCGCAGTTTAACATGAATACCCCACTGCCGAGCGCCAGACAGGGTAACAACAAGTACCATCTTTTAACGTCTTTTGGTATGACGCGGTCGGAGATCGAATCCCGGACCTTCCGCTTTCCGGGCGGACGCTCTACCACGAGACCAAGGATAAACGATTTCAGGAGAACCCAAGTATGCATAAGTTCTAACTGTGAAACAGATGAAGCTGTCTCATAAGTCTCCTGGTTAGTTCAGTTGGGTAAACCAGTGGAAGGGAATTTGTTATTTTATGAATATTGAGCTATATAAGATAATCGATATACCGGAAGCTTAACATAAACTGGGGGCACGGGTTGCCCAGTCGTCTGAGGCGCCGCGATTCGCTGTGCAGAGTTGCGTCCCTTAGGCACGCCAGAAACCTCTGATTGTGGGTTGGAATCCAGGTTCGCGGCGATTATGTTTCTAGGTTTGTCAGCACCATACCCGTGCTCGTGGGTTTCACCGAAGTGGTAAACGTCTGAGACCTGCATCACTTCCGGCTTTCCTCCACCTTAAGCTGACACGCCGTGATATAACTGGAATAATGTTAAAAGCGGCGTTAAACCAATTTCACTCACTCACTCACTTAAGATAAACTTCTTTGCCTCTTCACCTTGTTTGGACTCTGCCAATCCGATCAGAAATTCTGATTCATATGCATAAAGAAACGGGGTGCCATTTCACGACCCTCCCTACGACCGGTTCACGAAAGCCTCTTAGCGTTACGACCCCCTAACCCACGTCGTAAACAATATCAAGGCCGTTGAACAATGCCCTCTTATAGTTTACACTAACTGTCTCCATGAGAAAACGATTCCGATTGATCATCAGCCGATCAAATTCACACACGCTAAGGTGTTGCGACATCCTAGTTTAAGATTGACTTTTCGGCCTTATTAAGAGGCTTTCGTGAAACGGTCGTAGGGAGAGTGAGTGAGTGAGTATGGTTTTTACGCCGCTTTTAGCAATATTCCGGCAATATCACGGCGGGGGACACCAGAAATGGGCTTTACACATTGTACCCATGTCGGGAATCGAACCCGGGTCTTCGGCGTGACGAGCGAACGCTTTAACCACTAGGCTACCCGACCGCCCCGGTCGTAGGGAGATCCTAAGAGGGTCGTAAACCCTTTCATAGCGGTTAGGAGGTCGTAACGCTAAGAGGCTTTCGTGAACCGGCACCCACATCAGCAAGTAAGGGAGCGCAACTGATGCCTATGGAAGTGCCTACCTCTTGCCTAAAGGTCTTACCTACAAGTCTTACATAGATGTTAGCAATGAGGATGTCCAGCTCATATGTTGTTTCCTCAATAAACTTTAGATGTCATTTGCTTTTATTTTTGGCAAATTGACTTGAACCTCTGAAAAGTAAGTAAAATAATTGCCCCTGTATGACATGTAATTCCTATCATAATCTATGTAATGTAACTATCTTCAACCAATGTTTTAAGCTAACTCATTGATAAGTATTAACATTGGCTAGTATCGCACATCGTTAAAACAACGGCGGAAAATCCTACCATTACAATGACTGGCAAAACGTTTTTTTCTAATCAATCTAATCCAGTTCATGAGTGCGTTTTTACTCCTCTGTATGAGAATCAGTATCATGAGAAACAATCCCATATTCCACCCCTTGAATTGAGAATCAAACCTGACATTTCTGCTGAGCAAAACTAAACTCTCACACCAAAATCATGTCGCCTCCTCAGTCTCGTTAACTTAACTAAAGAAATCAGACACTAATAAAATAATGTATCAGCAAGTATATAATCAATTAAGAAACAACAACGATACATACAAATCTATATTTAGCGATGGATCCAAGGATGGTGACAGAGTAGCTAATGCCACAGTCTTTGGATGAAGAACCATATCATCCAGATTACCAAATGACAGTTCAATTTTTACAGCAGTATCAATTAAATAAATACTCAATCTAAACATAAACAGTTCATTATCTTTTCTGATTTCCTGTCCTGTCTTTGGGCCATTAAGAATATTTCTTGTCAGCTTCCACTTATACGTGATAAATAATTCTTGATAAATTTTGAATTGTGCAAATAGTTATATTTTATATTGGTAATGTATAATTTGTAACTTAGATGGTTAATGAAAGGACTTGTAAGACCACATGATTCAAAGTACATTAATTCATACCTCACTTTTAAACGTAGTATATTTATTTATTTTAACCGATGGCTAAATTGCGTACCATCACAAGCTGCTGAAGGGATGGTGTAAATCCTGCTGGGGAGCCGTGCAGATAGCAGACATATCGCCCCCACGGTCCCCAGTCTGGTGGCCTCACTTTGGTTCCTGGTGATGTATGGCCCATTTTTATAGTGTAAATGTGTGGAGTCAAATCACTTTCTACTGAAGAACTGAACATGGCATATTCAACATGAAATATTTCATACTGTAGCTTAGATTGCAAGCAAAGGCACAGCGTAGATCACGTACACTGCTGGTTCATACAGACGATAGATAGTAGATGTCTGCAACAATTCCACAGAGATGTCACGTGTCAGTTATCTGCATAACTATCCACAACTATTATGAAATGATGCAAAGATGTGGACCGGCAATACTTTGAGGAAAGCATTTTATCATGAGTAATGCAAGGAAATATCTTTTTGTGAATTATAGACGCCCAAAGAAGTATAAAAAATGTATTCATATGAATCAAGGATATCCGTACACTGACTAAATAAGGGTGACGATGTTGCCTATAAATGGATCAAAGATGTCAATAGTTAAATGATCGTTGTCCAGAGACAGATCAGATATGTCCATAGGTGGATGAAACATGTCCCACAAGATAGATCAACGCTGTCAATAAATTGATCATTGACGATGTTGCCTATAAATGGATCAAAGATGTCAAAAGTTAAATGATCGTTGTCCAGAGACAGATCAGATATGTCCATAGGTGGATGAAACATGTCCCACAAGATAGATCAAAGATGTCAATAGTTAAATCATCGTTGTTCAGAGACAGATCAGATATGTCCATAGGTAAATGAAACATGTCCCACAAGATAGATCAAAGCTGCCAATAAATTGATCATTGATATCGTAAAATCAAATCAAAGATGTCTGATGACACCTGATCTAAAATAGATCAATGTTGTTTTAAAATGGATCAATGTTGTTATAAAATGGATCAATGTTGTTATAAAATGGATCAACTTTGCTATAAAATGGATCAACTTTGCTATGAGATGGATCAACATTGTCCTGCAGATCAAATGGCGAGATCTACACCAGGTTTGCATCTTTGGCCATCCCATAGAAGACGCTTTGTTTGTCTGTCAGGAGAGCTGCCGGCGTGTCGAACTCCTTGACCAGCCCTTGGTCCAGCACCAGGATTCTGGAAACAGCAACACAAGGTTTGCCAAAATAAATCCATTTGAATCACGTAAAATGATCAACTAAATATAAAGTTATATCATCTAAGAAACTCCCAATTACAGGTCCCTCACTCATGCACATGTCACGTAGTCATTAAAGTCCATGACGGTGTTGGTGAGCTACGGTGATCACAGTGAACCACATGCATAACTCACCTGTCGTAGTCCATGACGGTGTTGGTGAGCTATGGTGATCATAGTGAACCACATGCATAACTCACCTGTCGTAGTCCATGATGGTGTTGGTGAGCTACGTTGATCATAGTGAACCACATGCATAACTCACCTGTCGTAGTCCATGACGGTGTTGGTGAGCTATGGTGATCATAGTGAACCACATGCATAACTCACCTGTCGTAGTCCATGATGGTGTTGGTGAGCTACGTTGATCATAGTGAACCACATGCATAACTCACCTGTCGTAGTCCATGATGGTGTTGGTGAGCTACGTTGATCATAGTGAACCACATGCATAACTCACCTGTCGTAGTCCATGACGGTGTTGGTGAGCTACGTTGATCATAGTGAACCACATGCATAACTCACCTGTCGTAGTCCATGACGGTGTTGGTGAGCTACGTTGATCATAGTGAACCACATGCATAACTCACCTGTCGTAGTCCATGACGGTGTTGGTGAGCTACAGTGATCATAGTGAACCACATGCATAACTCACCTGTCGTAGTCCATGACGGTGTTGGTGAGCTATGGTGATCATAGTGAACCACATGCATAACTCACCTGTCGTAGTCCATGATGGTGTTGGTGAGCTACGTTGATCATAGTGAACCACATGCATAACTCACCTGTCGTAGTCCATGACGGTGTTGGTGAGCTACGTTGATCATAGTGAACCACATGCTGAACTCACCTGTCGTAGTCCATGACGGTGTTGGTGAGCTACAGTGATCATAGTGAACCACATGCATAACTCACCTGTCGTAGTCCATGACGGTGTTGGTGAGCTATGGTGATCATAGTGAACCACATGCATAACTCACCTGTCGTAGTCCATGACGGTGTTGGTGAGCTACAGTGATCATAGTGAACCACATGCATAACTCACCTGTCGTAGTCCATGACGGTGTTGGTGAGCTATGGTGATCATAGTGAACCACATGCATAACTCACCTGTCATAGTCCATGACGGTGTTGGTGAGCTACGTGGATCAAAGTGAACCACATGCATAACTCACCTGTCATAGTCCATGACGGTGTTGGTGAGCTACGTTGATCATAGTGAACCACATGCATAACTCACCTGTCGTAGTCCATGACGGTGTTGGTGAGCTATGGTGATCATAGTGAACCACATGCATAACTCACCTGTCGTAGTCCATGACGGTGTTGGTGAGCTACAGTGATCATAGTGAACCACATGCATAACTCACCTGTCGTAGTCCATGACGGTGTTGGTGAGCTACGTTGATCATAGTGAACCACATGCATAACTCACCTGTCGTAGTCCATGACGGTGTTGGTGAGCTACAGTGATCATAGTGAACCACATGCATAACTCACCTGTCGTAGTCCATGATGGTGTTGGTGAGCTACGGTGATCATAGTGAACCACATGCATAACTCACCTGTCGTAGTCCATGATGGTGTTGGTGAGCTACGGTGATCATAGTGAACCACATGCATAACTCACCTGTCGTAGTCCATGATGGTGTTGGTGAGCTACGTTGATCACAGTGAACCACATGCATAACTCACCTGTCGTAGTCCATGATGGTGTTGGTGAGCTACGGTGATCATAGTGAACCACATGCATAACTCACCTGTCGTAGTCCATGATGGTGTTGGTGAGCTACGGTGATCATAGTGAACCACATGCATAACTCACCTGTCGTAGTCCATGATGGTGTTGGTGAGCTACGGTGATCATAGTGAACCACATGCATAACTCACCTGTCGTAGTCCATGACGGTGTTGGTGAGCTACGGTGATCATAGTGAACCACATGCATAACTCACCTGTCGTAGTCCATGACGGTGTTGGTGAGCTACGGTGATCACAGTGAACCACATGCATAACTCACCTGTCGTAGTCCATGACGGTGTTGGTGAGCTACGTTGATCACAGTGAACCACATGCTGAACTCACCTGTCGTAGTCCATGACGGTGTTGGTGAGCTACGTTGATCACAGTGAACCACATGCTGAACTCACCTGTCGTAGTCCATGACGGTGTTGGTGAGCTATGGTGATCATAGTGAACCACATGCATAACTCACCTGTCGTAGTCCATGACGGTGTTGGTGAGCTACGTTGATCACAGTGAACCACATGCTGAACTCACCTGTCGTAGTCCATGACGGTGTTGGTGAGCTATGGTGATCATAGTGAACCACATGCTGAACTCACCTGTCGTAGTCCATGACGGTGTTGGTGAGCTATGGTGATCATAGTGAACCACATGCTGAACTCACCTGTCGTAGTCCATGACGGTGTTGGTGAGCTATGGTGATCATAGTGAACCACATGCTGAACTCACCTGTCGTAGTCCATGACGGTGTTGGTGAGCTATGGTGATCATAGTGAACCACATGCTGAACTCACCTGTCGTAGTCCATGACGGTGTTGGTGAGCTATGGTGATCATAGTGAACCACATGCTGCACTCACCTGTCGTAGTCCATGACGATGTTGGTGAGCTATGGTGATCATAGTGAACCACATGCATAACTCACCTGTCGTAGTCCATGACGGTGTTGGTGAGCTATGGTGATCATAGTGAACCACATGCATAACTCACCTGTCGTAGTCCATGACGGTGTTGGTGAGCTACGGTGATCATAGTGAACCACATGCATAACTCACCTGTCGTAGTCCATGACGGTGTTGGTGAGCTACAGTGATCATAGTGAACCACATGCATAACTCACCTGTCGTAGTCCATGATGGTGTTAGTGAGCTACGTTGATCATAGTGAACCACATGTTGAACTCACCTGTCGTAGTCCATGATGGTGTTGAGACGGTGGGCGATGGTGATCACAGTCGAGTCCCTGAACTCTGTCTTGATTGTGGTTTGGATCAGATCATCGGTTTCCATGTCAACTGCTGCTGTAGCTTCGTCTAGGACCAGAATCTTGGTTTTCCTTAGCAGAGTCCGGGCCAGGCATACCAGTTGTCTCTGCCCAACACTGCAACACAAAGTCACTAGTAATACTATGTAACAGTGTATCGACACACCAGTTGCCTCTGCCCAACACTGCAACACAAAGTCACTATTAATACTGTGTAACAGTGTATCGACACACCAGTTGCCTCTGCCCAACACTGCAACACAAAGTCGCTAGTAATACGATGTAACAGTGTAACGACACACCAGTTGCCTCTGCCCAACACTGCAACACAAAGTCACTAGTAATACGATGTAACAGTGTAACGACACACCAGTTGCCTCTGCCCAACACTGCAACACAAAGTCACTAGTTTTACGATGTAATATTGCACCACAAAGTCACTATTAATACTATGTAACAGTGTATCGACATACCAGTTGCCTCTGCCCAACACTGCAACACAAAGTCGCTAGTTTTACGATGTAATATTGCACCACAAAGTCACTATTAATACTATGTAACAGTGTATCGACATACCCCTTGCCTCTGCCCAACACTGCAACACAAAGTCACTAGTTTTACGATGTAATATTGCACCACAAAGTCACTATTAATACTATGTAACAGTGTATCGACATACCCCTTGCCTCTGCCCAACACTGCAACACAAAGTCACTATTAATACTATGTAACAGTGTATCGACATACCCCTTGCCTCTGCCCAACACTGCAATACAAAGTCACTATTAATACTATGTAACAGTGTATCGACATACCACTTGCCTCTGCCCAACACTGCAACACAAAGTCACTATTAATACTATGTAACAGTGTACCGACATACCAGTTGCCTCTGCCCAACATTGCAACACAAAGTCACTATTAATACTATGTAACAGTGTATCGACATACCACTTGCCTCTGCCGAACACTGCACCACAATTTCACTAGGTACACGATGTAACACTGTACCGGTCGCAACCGTGGAGATGGATTTCTGACGTCGAACCTTCCTTAGGTTTGTCCACCTTCTCCACACTCGTACTCCAGCTGACTAGTGAGCGACGAGACAAATTTCTTGAGGTGAGCGTGGTCCAACGCCTGTCACAGATAGGTAGTTAGACGTGACCTACCTGAGGTTTTGTCCACCTTCTCCACACTCGTACTCCAGCTGACTAGGCAACTCCGTCACAAACGTCTTGAGATGAGCGTGCTCCAACGCCTGCCAGAGATCCTCATCGCTGTGGCTGTCGAAAGGGTCCAGGTTCATCCTCAGGGTGCCAGAGAAGATGACAGGGTCCTGGAATTAAGCAGTCATCAGTTGGGCATCCCCATAATTCTCCCCCAGTGTTCATTTAATTAGTTCACCATAAAGCAACGTAAGTTAAAGAGCATCATACGACTCTTTCTCAGAAGTTGTTCGATCAAGGCTACAACATTTAGAAAAGCTCAGTAAAGCTTTCGAAACGTTTGACGGTAAACATGTTAAGGAAATTCCCAAATTTACGTATCAGTGACAATTGACTTGTCTATGCATGTATTTGAGACGGGTGACACGGGGCAGGCGACGCTCACCATTTCGCGCACACCTGTGTCATCACTATTTGATAGTGATTCAGAAACACATGCTCTTGACATAGTTCTGCCTTTTATGCACATATTTCTATTGGATATGGAAAGGGTTCAGTCGCTTTATTTAATTAAGTAATATTTCCAAAGGTTGGTGTTCCTGGGTGTTATATCTTTAAACAAAGAAATGATGTCTCGGGTATTTTACCTGGGGGAGTATGGTGAGTTTTGACCTGAGGTCATGCAGACCCATGTCATCAATAGCTCTGCCATCGACAATGATCCGTCCTCCGGCAGCTTCAATCAGGCGGAACAGCGCCACCGTTAGCGACGACTTCCCAGCACCAGTTCTTCCAACGATGCCAATCTGCAGATACAGAGGGAACGATATTTTCTAGTGGTATGCACAATACATGACCGTTTAATTATCTCCCTTTGTGTATGTCCGTTTCAACATTCCATAAGGAGATGATTGTGTTTCGTTTGAGGTTCAGTCAAGGGATAGTATGATCGTGATGGTAACATTTCTACTCTACGGGACATTACCTAGACGTTGTGGCTCTTGAATGAGATTTTGGTCGTAAATAGATTTATCGCGAAATTAGAAAAATTCTTAATGCTCGAATCAATTTATATATGGGCAGTATGAACCTACATGTATCATACAGTATCTTTGTCAGTTTCCGAGAATTTAGTGAGAGTGAATGTTGTTTAACGCCACATCTACACATAATCGACGTGAGGATTGTTAGAACGTAAATTACCAAACTTAACACACCTGCTTATGAATTGGACTTGTCCTTCATTGCCGTGATCGGAAGCAATATCAACATTTGGGTTAGTATTTTTAAAGAGGCTGTGCAAAATTTTGATATCACATATAAGAAATAAACGACTTGTGGTCGTTGTTTACCGTTCAATAAAACACTACAGGGTCGCATTTTATTGTACGATAAACACTTCCCATTCGAAAAGAAACTTTACCCCTCGGTGGATTTAATCATATGTTTAGTTTTCTGTTGACAATATGTTAAGGTAGCGATGTTAAGGTATCGGTTAACATATATAACATGTCAAACATGGTTGGGGTCATATGTTTGCAAATTCATTTCTTAGTCTGTAGTGAACCAATTTATTTTTACACAAAATTATTCAGCCACATACTGCCTTTTACAAACTGTTGCAGGAATGAGTGATGGTTAAATAGACATAATCAAATTTAAGAACACTTCTTTCAATTTTGAATTTTATAAAAAAAATCGGAATACTTTCTTTTGCCACTTTGTTTTTATATATAGTATTGTTTAAATATCTCTGATCAGTAGAAATGATACTTTACAGGTCAAAACTGTATTACTTGTATGCAGACATACACTACCTTTTCCCCTCCGTTGATGTCACAGGAGATGCCCTTCAACACAAGGTCAAGTTCAGATCTGTATCGGGTCTCGTAGTGGTCAAACGTGACCTTGCCCTCATCTGGCCATGACCTTGGAGGTTGGCGTGAAGGAACAATCCACTCAGCCTGAAATACGTGATGAAGGTGTGACATGAGAGACAGCCACGCCCGTGGTCATATCGTGACATGATACTCCCCAGGGAGTTGATGCAATAAAAGAGTTCAGTATGTCATGCGAGTGATTTTCAAAGACAGGATGTCTAAAATACTCATCGGGAGTTAAATCTTATACGATTTTTAAAAAGATTGTGCTTCACTCAAAATTGAGGCGGTCGGGGAGCCTAGTGGTTAAAGCGTTTGCTCCTCACGCCGAAGACCCGGGTTCGATTCCCGACATGGGTACAATGTGTGAAGCCCATTTCTGGGGTCCCCCGCCGTGATGTTGCTGGAATATTGCTAAAAGCGGCGTAAAACCATACTCACTCACTCACTCACTCACTTAAAATTACATTGTTAAAAAGTATACTTCGAATTCTTACCAAGCGCCAATAGAGTTTATTTTTTGGATATAAATTAAACAAACTTGCTTCCTCAGTTTACATTTCGGTACAAGATCACTGTGTACAGTAGGCTACTCCAGAAAGCCGGAAGTATTGGGTCTAAGGAGCACCTGTTGGTACAAGAACACAGTATACAGTATGCTACTCCAGCCGCAAGTACATGGTCTAAGGAGCACCTGTCGGTACAAGGACACTGTGTACAGTATGCTACTCCAGAGAACCGGAATTACTGGGTCTAAGGAGCATCTGTCGGCACAAGGACACTGTGTACAGTATGCTACTCCAGAGAACCGGAATTACTGGGTCAAAGGAGCATCTGTCGGCACAAGGACACTGTGTACAGTATGCTACACCAGAAAGCCACAAGTACTGGGTCTAAGGAGCACCTGTCGGTACAAGAACACTGTGTACAGTATACTACACCAGAAAGCCGCAAGTACTGGGTCTAAGATGCACTTGTCGGTACAAGAACATTGTGTACAGTATGCTACTCCAGAAAGCCGGAAGTATTGGGTCTAAAGATCATCTGTTGGTACAAGAACACAGTATACAGTATGCTACTCCAGCCGCAAGTACATGGTCTAAGGAGAACCTGTCGGTACAAGGACACTGTGTACAGTATGCTACTCTAGAAAGCCGGAAGTATTGGGTCTAAAGATCATCTGTTGGTACAAGAACACAGTATACAGTATGCTACTCCAGCCGCAAGTACTGGGTCTAAAGAGCACCTGTCGGTACAAGGACACTGTGTACAGTATGCTACACCAGAAAGCCGCAAGTACTGGGTCTAAGGAGCACCTGGCGGAACAAGAACACGATGTACAGTATGCTACTCCAGAGAGCCGCAAGTACTGGGTCTAAGGAGCACCTGTCGGTACAAGGACACTGTGTACAGTATGCTACTCCAGAGAACCCGAAGTACTGGGTCTAAGAAGCACCTGTCGGTACAAGGACACTGTGTACAGTATGCTACACCAGAGAGCCGCAAGTACTGGGTCTAAGGAGCATCTGTCGGCACAAGGACACTGTGTACAGCATGCTACACCAGAAAGCCGCAAGTACTGGGTCTAAGGAGCACCTGTCGGTACAAGAACACTGTGTACAGTATACTACACCAGAAAGCCGCAAGTACTGGGTCTAAGGAGCACCTGTCGGTACAAGAACACTGTGTACAGTATACTACACCAGAAAGCCGCAAGTACTGGGTCTAAGGAGCACTTGTCGGTACAAGAACATTGTGTACAGTATGCTACTCCAGAAAGCCGGAAGTATTGGGTCTAAAGATCATCTGTTGGTACAAGAACACAGTATACAGTATGCTACTCCAGCCGCAAGTACTAGGTCTAAAGAGCACCTGTCGGTACAAGGGCACTGTATACAGTATGCTACTCCAGAGAGCCGCAAGTACTGGGTCTAAGGAGCACCTGGCGGAACAAGAACACGATGTACAGTATGCTACTCCAGAGAGCCGCAAGTACTGGGTCTAAGGAGCACCTGTCGGTACAAGGACACTGTATACAGTATGCTACTCCAGAGACCTGCAAGTACTGGGTCTAAGGAGAAGAGGAAACATTTGTGGGCCAACATTTACATCACCTCTGACTGTATCTCTGAATATTCCTTCATCCTCTCAACAGAGACGATGTTAGCCTCGATGTCAGAGGTCATCCGGACCAGCAAGCTGAGGGATTGGGTGATCTGGAAGACAAAATAATTCATCGATCATAAATGCAGTAACAAAAGAGTAAGTGAGGGATTTCAACCCACGATTATAGATTTCTGGCACGCTTAAGGGACGTAACTCTGGACAGCGAATAACGGCGCCTTAGCCGACAGGGCCATCCACGCACATTCATAAAGAAAACAGAGAGAATATGTAACATATGACGTTCAATGCCATAGCAACTCTTTAATATAGGCCCTGCCAGACTTTTATTCTCTTGTGATGGCTAAAATGATGTAACAAGGTATCTCAACGATGAATTATGACGCTACGTAGCTAATGTGCTATTTGCAATACGCAATCTAATATTACAATGTATTCCTGGCCCCAGCAGGTAAGAAGGAACGGTCAGCGCAACGGTGTTCATTTACATGTCCTCTTCTGTTGTGATCACAGAGCATGTTTTAAACCCGTGAAGCACCGGGGTAGAATAGGTCTTCAGCAACCCATGCTTGCCGTAAAAGGCGACTATGCTTGTCGTAAAAGGCGACTAACGGATCGGGTTGTCAGGCTCGCTGACTTGATTGATGCATGTCATCGTATCCCAATTGCGTGGATCGATGCTCATGATGTCAATCACCTGATTGTCTGGCCCAGATTCGATTATTTTACAGAGCGCCGTCATGTAGCTGGATGGCTTGGAATGTTTATAATATCAATTACTAATTTGTCTTGTCCAGACTCGAATATTTCCAAGCCACCGTCATACTGCTGAAATAGTGCTGAATGCGGCTTAAACAAACAAACAAACAAACAAACAAACACAGTGTATGCCACATTACCTGAAGAGCGTACGAGACAGACAGACCCACAATTCCACTGGGCAGATTTGTCGTAATAACGGAGAATAAAGCAGCAAACAGAACTATTGTGTTGCCAAGAAACTCCAGGCGCACCCCAAGCCACCTGAAATAAAAACAAAACTCATCATCAACATAAAACATCACTACAAGATAATAACCTCAACCTCAAAATGTACGAGAATCTGTACTTAACACAGAGAAAGTGTTATCCAATATATAACATCTGTTACAGTCGCAAACAGATTCCATTTTGCGTAATGGGCGATATAGCTCTGGATATTAAATGGATAGACCATTGAAAATCAGTGATGAGAACAGATGTTCACGAAAAGAGTGAACATGTCCTGCCCTTCCGATGGCCCACGCTATTCACACAATTTGAAAAATAAAAAGTAAAATCTCAAGTAAAAGAAATTAAAAAGTAAGTGAGCACTTTCATTCGCAGGGAATCATCCCTTACCATCATACGTTGACATGAGGAAACTCATCAGTCTAGATCTTTTATGAAGAGAATTTGCAATCAGTCCACAACCGTTCATTCAGTGTGCATAGCTATCATGCAGACAAAGTCAGAGTTGGTGCAACTGGGGACCTGCTCTTCTCTAAGAGTATTCAACTTTCCCTCAGTTATGAACTTACAATACCTTTCTAAGGAAGTGTCATCCAAAAAACAACAAACATATTCTTAAAACCAGCATGTGTTATACTGATATTACGAAAGGAGTGTCAGAATTATTGTATTTCCCGAGAATTATTGTATTTCCCGAGCGAGATCGAGGCTTTTACACGTGTTTTATAAAATCAGTATTACACAGATGTGAGTGTAATATTCTTTTATTATCCATTATTTCTTAAACCGTTTGACGTCCTCTTTAGGAAAATTCAGTTATACACCGCTGTCTTAAAAAAATAATTAAAAAGAATTTGTCGAATGAAGTCAACAATCTTCAGCTTTGACGTCGTTTCTAGTGTGACGCCATTCTGACCTTACGTCACAAATAAGATTTTAATTACGTAAACAATGCCGTCGGATGACGTAAACAACACACTAGTGCGCGAGAAGGGATATTTGCACCAGTGCACACACGATTTTTATGAATTCGGTTATTTCTAACCCCGTATGTAATAATTGTTACTATTAGGTAGTTAGTACTAAAATATATTGTTTAATATATCTATCCGTTTACATTTACGTTTGTTGTTTAACGCCACACTCCAGCTGTACATAATCAAGGCTGGACCAGTCATTCGAGTAACTGATATCAATTGGGGTACGATAACATGCATCAACCTAGTCAGCGAGCCTGACCACCCGGTCCCGTTAGTTGCCTCTTTCGACAAGCAAGGGTTGCTGAAGACCTTTTCTAACCAAAATGAAAAATAATATCCAAAATAAAAAGACAAGCAACAAAGACGTTTGTTATAATATTTATAATTAATTTAGCGCGCTGGTGTTAGTGCGCAAATCGATGACAAGGTGCGCATTTACAGATTTCCCTCCAAATTCATATGTGCTGCTAAATTTAACTGACGACGCCATACCGGGACATGACGTCACGCACCAAAGTGACAATGTGATGAAAAAGGTTTAAGAGAACGTTAAGTCACCACTCCCATACTACGACGGACAAGGACCGCCCTAGGAAGCAATGTGCAGATCTAGAGTATGTCCTTAATAATAATTATATGGACAGTCCAAGGAATCAATGTTCAATTCCGGAGTGGAAATGATAGCCCAAGAAAGCAATGTGCAGATCTAGAGTATGTCCTTAATAATAATTACATGGACGGTCAAAGGAATCAATGTTTAATTCTGGAGTGCATGTGAATTACATGGGTCGCCCCAGGAAGAAATGTTTAGTTGTGTGCATAATAGAAGGACAAGGACATCCGTCCCAGCTAGAAATAAACATCATGTGATGGAACACGTCACCTGTTGGAGGCCAGCCATGCAGAGAAGAAAGTCAAGTTCTTGTCCACTCTTTCTGAGGATTTCATGATGAATCTGTCGGTGACGTTGTACGCACGTATAGATGACGCACCAGTGATTGTCTCTCCAAAATGAGAATAAATGGGAGATCTTGTGGTTGATTCCAGTCGCTTCAACTGACGAGATGTCTGTATGTAGAATCTCTGAGGAAACGGAGCAACAATGTGAATATAAAAACACCCAACAGTTTCTTTTCATCCCGTTATCCTTTATATTCAAAGGACACAGCCACACAATCAACAAATAGTAGTCACTCGTATACACTTCACGCAGCTATTGCAAGAGTATTGCAAGAGGTATGATGACAGACAGGAAGATGGGGGTACTGTACCTGCACTAGATAGTAGAGTATTGCAAGAGGTATGATGACAGACAGGAAGATGGGGGTACTGTACCTGCACCAGATAGTAGAGTATTGCAAGAGGAATGATGACAGACAGGAAGATGGGGTACTGTACCTGCACCAGATAGTAGAGTATTGCAAGAGGTATGATGACAGACAGGAAGATGGGGGTACTGTACCTGCACCAGATAGTAGAGTATTGCAAGAGGTATGATGACTGACAGGAAGATGGGGGTACTGTACCTGCACTAGATAGTAGAGTATTGCAAGAGGAATGATGACAGACAGGAAGATGGGGGTACTGTACCTGCACCAGATGGTAGAGTATTGCAAGAGGTATGATGACAGACAGGAAGATGGGGGTACTGTACCTGCACCAGATGGTAGAGTATTGCAAGAGGAATGATGACAGACAGGAAGATGGGGGTACTGTACCTGCACCAGATAGTAGAGTATTGCAAGAGGTATGATGACAGACAGGAAGATGAGGGTACTGTACCTGCACCAGATAGTAGAGTATTGCAAGAGGTATGATGACAGACAGGAAGATGAGGGTACTGTACCTGCACCAGATAGTAGAGTATTGCAAGAGGTATGATGACAGACAGGAAGATGGGGGTACTGTACCTGCACCAGATAGTAGAGTATTGCAAGGGGAATGATGACTGACAGGAAGATGGGGGTACTGTACCTGCACCAGATAGTAGAGTATTGCAAGAGGTATGATGACAGACAGGAAGATGGGGGTACTGTACCTGCATCAGATAGTAGAGTATTGCAAGAGGAATGATGACTGACAGGAAGATGGGGGTACTGTACCTGCACCAGACAGTAGAGTATTGCAAGAGGAATGATGACAGACAGGAAGATGGGGGTACTGTACCTGCACCAGATAGTAGAGTATTGCAAGAGGTATGATGACAGACAGGAAGATGGGGGTACTGTACCTGCACTAGATAGTAGAGTATTGCAAGAGGAATGATGACAGACAGGAAGATGGGGGTACTGTACCTGCACCAGATGGTAGAGTATTGCAAGAGGTATGATGACAGACAGGAAGATGAGGGTACTGTACCTGCACCAGATAGTAGAGTATTGCAAGAGGTATGATGACAGACAGGAAGATGAGGGTACTGTACCTGCACCAGATAGTAGAGTATTGCAAGAGGTATGATGACAGACAGGAAGATGGGGGTACTGTACCTGCACCAGATAGTAGAGTATTGCAAGGGGAATGATGACTGACAGGAAGATGGGGGTACTGTACCTGCACCAGATAGTAGAGTATTGCAAGAGGTATGATGACAGACAGGAAGATGAGGGTACTGTACCTGCACCAGATGGTAGAGTATTGCAAGAGGTATGATGACAGACAGGAAGATGGGGGTACTGTACCTGCACCAGATAGTAGAGTATTGCAAGGGGAATGATGACTGACAGGAAGATGGGGGTACTGTACCTGCACCAGATAGTAGAGTATTGCAAGAGGTATGATGACAGACAGGAAGATGGGGGTACTGTACCTGCACCAGATAGTAGAGTATTGCAAGAGGAATGATGACTGACAGGAAGATGGGGGTACTGTACCTGCACCAGATAGTAGAGTATTGCAAGAGGAATGATGACAGACAGGAAGATGGGGGTACTGTACCTGCACCAGATAGTAGAGTATTGCAAGAGGTATGATGACAGACAGGAAGATGGGGGTACTGTACCTGCACTAGATAGTAGAGTATTGCAAGAGGAATGATGACAGACAGGAAGATGGGGGTACTGTACCTGCATCAGATGGTAGAGTATTGCAAGAGGTATGATGACAGACAGGAAGATGAGGGTACTGTACCTGCACCAGATAGTAGAGTATTGCAAGAGGTATGATGACAGACAGGAAGATGAGGGTACTGTACCTGCACCAGATAGTAGAGTATTGCAAGAGCTATGATGACAGACAGGAAGATGGGGGTACTGTACCTGCACCAGATAGTAGAGTATTGCAAGGGGAATGATGACTGACAGGAAGATGGGGGTACTGTACCTGCACCAGATAGTAGAGTATTGCAAGAGGTATGATGACAGACAGGAAGATGAGGGTACTGTACCTGCACCAGATGGTAGAGTATTGCAAGAGGTATGATGACAGACAGGAAGATGGGGGTACTGTACCTGCACCAGATAGTAGAGTATTGCAAGGGGAATGATGACTGACAGGAAGATGGGGGTACTGTACCTGCACCAGATAGTAGAGTATTGCAAGAGGTATGATGACAGACAGGAAGATGGGGGTACTGTACCTGCACCAGATAGTAGAGTATTGCAAGAGGAATGATGACTGACAGGAAGATGGGGGTACTGTACCTGCACCAGATAGTAGAGTATTGCAAGAGGAATGATGACAGACAGGAAGATGGGGGTACTGTACCTGCACCAGATAGTAGAGTATTGCAAGAGGTATGATGACAGACAGGAAGATGGGGGTACTGTACCTGCACTAGATAGTAGAGTATTGCAAGAGGAATGATGACAGACAGGAAGATGGGGGTACTGTACCTGCATCAGATGGTAGAGTATTGCAAGAGGTATGATGACAGACAGGAAGATGAGGGTACTGTACCTGCACCAGATAGTAGAGTATTGCAAGAGGTATGATGACAGACAGGAAGATGAGGGTACTGTACCTGCACCAGATAGTAGAGTATTGCAAGAGGTATGATGACAGACAGGAAGATGGGGGTACTGTGCCTGCACCAGATAGTAGAGTATTGCAAGGGGAATGATGACTGACAGGAAGATGGGGGTACTGTACCTGCACCAGATAGTAGAGTATTGCAAGAGGTATGATGACAGACAGGAAGATGGGGGTACTGTACCTGCACCAGATAGTAGAGTATTGCAAGAGGAATGATGACAGACAGGAAGATGGGGGTACTGTACCTGCACCAGATAGTAGAGTATTGCAAGAGGAATGATGACAGACAGGAAGATGGGGGTACTGTACCTGCACCAGATAGTAGAGTATTGCAAGAGGTATGATGACAGACAGGAAGATGGGGGTACTGTACCTGCACTAGATAGTAGAGTATTGCAAGAGGAATGATGACAGACAGGAAGATGGGGATACTGTACCTGCACCAGATGGTAGAGTATTGCAAGAGGTATGATGACAGACAGGAAGATGGGGGTACTGTACCTGCACCAGATAGTAGAGTATTGCAAGAGGAATGATGACTGACAGGAAGATGGGGTACTGTACCTGCACCAGATGGTAGAGTATTGCAAGAGGAATGATGACTGACAGGAAGATGGGGGTACTGTACCTGCACCAGATAGTAGAGTATTGCAAGAGGAATGATGACTGACAGGAAGATGGGGGTACTGTACCTGCACCAGATGGTAGGGTATTGCAAGAGGAATGATGACAGACAGGAAGATGGGGGTACTGTACCTGCCCCAAATAGTAGAGTATTGCAAGAGGTATGATGACAGACAGGTAGAAGGGTACTGTACCTGCACCAGATGGTAGAGTATTGCAAGAGGTATGATGACAGACAGGAAGATGGGGTACTGTACCTGCACCAGATAGTAGAGTATTGCAAGAGGTATGATGACAGACAGGAAGATGGGGGTACTGTACCTGCACCAGATAGTAGAGTATTGCAAGAGGTATGATGACAGACAGGAAGATGGGGTACTGTACCTGCACCAGATAGTAGAGTATTGCAAGAGGTATGATGACTGACAGGTAGAAGGGTACTGTACCTGCACCAGATGGTAGAGTATTGCAAGAGGTATGATGACAGACAGGAAGATGGGGGTACTGTACCTGCACCAGATAGTAGAGTATTGCAAGAGGTATGATGACAGACAGGAAGATGGGGGTACTGTACCTGCACCAGATAGTAGAGTATTGCAAGAGGTACGATGACTGACAGGAAGATGGGGGTACTGTACCTGCACCAGGTAGTAGAGTATTGCAAGAGGTACGATGACAGACAGGAAGATGGGGGTACTGTACGTGCTACAGATAGTAGAGTATTGCAAGAGGAATGATGACAGACAGGAAGATGGGGGTACTGTACCTGCACCAGATAGTAGAGTATTGCAAGAGGTATGATGACAGACAGGAAGATGGGGGTACTGTACCTGCTACAGATAGTAGAGTATTGCAAGAGTTGTGATGACAGACAGGAAGATGGGGGTACTGTACCTGCACCAGATAGTAGAGTATTGCAAGAGGAATGATGACAGACAGGAAGATGGGCGTACTGTACCTGCACCAGATAGTAGAGTATTGCAAGAGGAATGATGACAGACAGGAAGATGGGGGTACTGTACCTGCACCAGATGGTAGAGTATTGCAAGAGGAATGATGACAGACAGGAAGATGGGGGTACTGTACCTGCACCAGATAGTAGAGTATTGCAAGAGGTATGATGACAGACAGGAAGATGGGGGTACTGTACCTGCACCAGATAGTAGAGTATTGCAAGAGGTACGATGACTAACAGGAAGATGGGGTACTGTACCTGCACCAGATAGTAGAGTATTGCAAGAGGAATGATGACTGACAGGAAGATGGGGGTACTGTAGCTTATGACGATGAGGGTGCCTGTCACATTGAACACACAGTTGATCCACATCCTGAAGAGTGCGGGAAGATTGTTGTCCACAGTTTCCACATCCCGAGAGAAGCGGTTGACGATCCGGCCGATGGGGGTCGTGTCGAAGAAGGACATCGGAGATCTAAGAACCCTCGACAGCATCTTGGCATGCATCCTACTAGCTGCTCGGACCATTTTCACAGCGGACAGGACGGAGTAGAATAGTATCACAACCGCTGAAAAATCAGGGCAACAGAAAGTCTATGGGGATTGTCCTTTACATGTGAGTGAGTGAGTGAGTGAGTTGGGTTTTACTTCGCTTTTAACAGCATTCCAGTTATATCGCGGCGTGTCAGCTTAATGTGGGAGGAAAGCCCGAAGTGATGCAGATCTCAGACCTTTACCACTTCGGTGAAACCCACGAGCACGGGTATGGTGCTGACAAACCTAGAAACTTAATAGGGTCGAACCGGGATTCGAACCCACAATCGTAGGTTTCTGGCGTGCCCAAAGGACGCAACTCTGTACAGCGAATCGCGTCGCCTTAGACGACTGGGCCACCCGTGACCCCTCATTAACATGTACATGGATGGGTCTTAATTTCAGAAAGACATCAGTTGATATCAACATTACAGAGCGCACAACATTGATACCATAACTGAATGATTTGGCATACTCCATCAATACAGTTTTTAGATGAACAATTGACCAGCCTTTGTATGTGTTTGTGACTGGGGCCACCAGTGACGGAGGATACGATCACCTTTTTCCGAACACTGGTTTCATCACTATTTCATTGTGATTCATAGACACATGCTCTTGATATTGTCGGAATTGTACTATCGACTCTGCTTTTAACAGGGATTTCTTATAAAAATGGAAAGGGTTTTCTCGCTTCTATTTATTTGAATCCATTGCGAAACACATATACCGAGTGCTTCCCTAAATTACAGTCCTTCCTTCAAACACATTCAGAACACAGCCAAGCAGTACCAGCCTCAAACCCCTTCTCTCGTTCCCAACCAACACCTTAGCTGAACCTCCTTCTCTAACAGTGTATGCTCTGGCCAAATGTTTAAACCTTTAAACATACGCTGCCCCGTAGACACTGAGGTTCTTGGTCTGGCAGTTGGGTTTGTAAAGTAACCCTGCAGGCATTTTGAAGCACCGTGGACACTGAGGTGTGTGGTGTTCTTGGTTTGACAGTTTGGTGTGTAAACCTACCCTGGATGCACCCGAAGGCCCCGAAAACTCCGAGGTACATAGTGTTCTTGTTTTGATAGTCGGAAGTGTTGACCAAACTTATGTTCTTCAGCAGTGCGTCCCCTGTCCAAACACTGATCCAGACGTTGGAGGCCATGGTGGCCGCCTGGTATATGGCGAAGATGAAGAAGATGAAGAACGTGGTGAAGCCGCCGATGGCTTTAGCGTAGTCCATGAACACGGAGAACTTCACCTGAAGCAGAAAGTGTGGTGACGATGAATGTGACATTGCTGAAACATTTTCAAGTATATTCTCATAATGGGTTCCGCAGAAATACCTAACAATGTGTTCAAACAAAAACCTGACAATATGTTCCACCAGAAGCCCTGTCAATGTGTTTTACCAACAGCCCTGACAATGTGTTCAAACAAAAACCTGACAATATGTTCCACCAGAAGCACTGTCAATGTGTTTTACCAACAGCCCTGACAATGTGTTCAAACAGAAACCTGACAATATGTTCCACCAGAAGCCCTGTCAATGTGTTTTACCAACAGCCCTGACAATGTGTTTAAACAGAAACCTGACAATATGTTCCACCAGAAGCCCTGTCAATGTGTTTTACCAACAGCCCTGACAATGTGTTCAAACAGAAACCTGACAATATGTTCCACCAGAAGCCCTGTCAATGTGTTTTACCAACAGCCCTGACAATGTGTTGAAACAGAAACCTGACAATATGTTCCACCAGAAGCACTGTCAATGTGTTTTACCAACAGCCCTGACAATGTGTTGAAACAGAAACCTGACAATATGTTCCACCAGAAGCCCTGACAATGTGTTTTACCAACAGCCCTGACCATGTGTTCAAACAGAAACCTGACAACGTGTTCTACCAGAAGCCCTGACAATGCGTTCTACCAGAAAGCCCTGACAATGTGTTCTACCAGAGAGCCCTGACAATGTGGTCAATCAGAAAACCCTGACAATGTGTTCAAACAGAAACCTGACAATGTGTTCTATCAGCAGCCTTGACAATGTGTTCACTGACCCTGCCTGTCTCAGACTTCTCCTCCTGGATCAGCTTGTTTCCTCCAGCCTTGGCCTGGGCTGTCAACTTCTTGCCTGCATCAGTCACTACTGACGTCTGCCGGGTCAAAATGCTGATAAAGAGAAACAAAATGTGATATCTGCGCTCAGGTAGCAATGTTGTGACAATGTACTGAGACAAATATATGTTACTGAAGAGTAGATAGTGTATCGGTGTTAAGTCAATTATGACTAAATTATGAATTATATGTTTCTGTGTCAGTACCTACAGATTTCGTCAATGATTTCAAAGTTTATTTTCTTTGACTGGTAAAGTAACACTTACAATTAACCACTTCATTAATCAAGACCTGCTGATTATTCTAAGTTTGGAACATCACTAACAAATTATAACATCCACTGACTTAAACCATGGCGCCTTAACGAGTCATACAAGAAGGCTGGAAGACCTAGAGAAACAAGTGGCCTAATAATATCACAACTGAAATACAGTTCGGCAATCGTCAGAAGTATAGCAAGTTGATTAAAGGCATCTCGGAAAACAGAGATAAGAAAATATTTTGTACAGGCCCCTGATATTTTGTTAATTAAATCCAACACCAAGGCTGTTGAAAACCATTAATGACTTGACATTGTTCATAGTGAACTAGAAACGTTATCTTTCACCTTGTGACTTCGTCCTCTAAAGTTGATCCGTCTGACGTGACAGATTCCAACCTGTGCCGGATCTTAGACTTCATCTCTTGAACTGCAATACGATGGTAGTTATTGAAGCAATAGTAATTGAGACAATAACTTGGTAGGTTTCATTTATAGAAATATGATCGCATGTGATATGTATATGTGTTTTTTCCAGCATCATAAGGCTAAAAATAACTCCAAAATGACTTTTAAAACAAGGGATATAGTTGTATGGATATAAAACTTATATATTACAATGAAAGCAACGTTGGGGTGTAGATGCTAACACCGTTATCAAGCAAGTGAGGTACAGAATGCGAAATATATTTCATATACATATAATATTTTAAATGAAGTTTACAAGATGTACGGATTTTCAATTTGACGAGAGGCCGGTCACATAACCGAGACACTGACGTTCATGAATGTATAAACGTCACAATTTGACGTTCTTATGTTTTTCACGAGACGGTATTCTTGAAATGACGCTAACACCGACGGACTACTTCCACATTCCGGGGAAAGCCCTGGGAATTCCCAAGTATTAATAAATACTGAAGCGTTGTTTCTGATCATTTAGACGATTTAATCCTGAGTGTGTTACCATACATCTCCCAGTAGATATAAAGGAACATCCAACCTCAGTACAGTAGAAAGACTTCAAATCTGTTATCTCTGACCATCTCTACGCCCATCCAGCCCACAACATCTATTGGGACTACAATATCAGTCAACTCCTAGATGCTCTTTGCGTCCAAAGACTCCAACAGGCCATCAACAGAGATCAAGGTTATTACATCCTAACCATGAGGTCATCCCTAATCAACCATAAGCGTATTGATATTGTCCATCTTAGTTCTTCTCATCTTAATATTGACGCCCAATAAAGGCATTGTTTACTATCATGGATTGCTAATAATATTTACTCCAACGGTACATCATCGGGTTTAATACTTCAACCTCAATCTATCATCATTCAATCTTGTATAAACATCAATTATCCACATGTTTATACTTCCTACTTCACATTGTTGTACATCAATTGCTTAATAACAGTGGTAGTATCAACACCGAAACGTCGTACTCATTGTAATAAAGAGGTTGTATTTCAGCAGGACTATCTCCCGTGTTCATCTTACAACTTCTAAATGTCACTAAAAGAATTAATGCCTTCGTAGTTTTCATTTATAGGTAGAAATATGAAAACATATGACATGTATGTGAGTTTTCCATAAGCATATGCCTAACATTCACAGATCTAAAATATATCCTATATGAACACATTAATATTCAAACACACATATACTTCCACATTGCACAAAAGTGTATATATGTTCGTTGTGTAACGTCCCATTCAGATTTTTTCCAGCAGTATGAAGAGGACTGGAAATATTCGAGTCTGGACAAGACAAATTAGTTCCAAACCATCAGAGTGCGGTGACACGCCACAACCACTTCAACGAACCTGACCACACGATCCAATAAGTCGTCTCTTACGCAAAACATAGGTTGCTGGTTGCTGAATCCCGACGGGTTGACTTAAATGTGCACATCAATTTCAGATGGACTTCAAAAACGAAACTATAATGCATATCATTTTCTATAATATTCTATAACAAATAAATATTCCAAAAAGCAAAATACAATTGCTGATGATGTATTTTCTGTTAAAAATTTCATGTTTACTGACTCTGAGGATCGACTTCCTGTTTGGGGCTGTCCTCCTGGGTGAGGTACGTCTTCAGGAACTGGGCGAAGGCTCCGTCATGACTCAGGAGCTCGTCATATGTCCCCATCTCCGTGATCTCACCGTCCACCAGCACCACGACCATGTCTGTCATCGGCAGCCAGTGCACACCATGGGTCACCAACAGTCGAGTCTGCAAAACCATCGTACTTATAACCAATCAGACAAACGAAGGACACCATGGGTCACCAACAGTCGAGTCTGCAAGACCATCGTACTTATAACCAATCAGACAAACGAAGGACACCATGGGTCACCAACAGTCTAGTCTGCAAGACCATCGTACTTATAACCAATCAGACAAACGAAGGACACCATGGGTCACCAACAGTCGAGTCTGCAAGACCATCGTACTTATAACCAATCAGACAAACGAAGGACATCATGGGTCACCAACACGCTGACACTGCAACGATGGTACAACAGAAACTGGAAAAAAATATTAACATGCACAAAAGTTAAGCGCCACCATATTCATAGTCTCTTGATTTCAAATTTGGGTTCATGAAACTATGGAGGCCTAATTCAGTCATACAACATCATATTTCGTATTTCTGATTCCCACACGTGAAATCAAGAGACTATGGTGGCGCTTATCTTTTGTGCATGTGTATATAATTCATTTCTTCTGACAATACAATATGATTATGTTGTACTTTATTCCAAGTTAGTGTTTATGATGCTTAATGGGAATTACTCTTCAGTCATCAACTGTTTCCGTCATATCACCACAGGACCACAAGTGGTGTCAATAACCTTGTTCAAGGATACGACACAGTAACTTGCATGATATGGCATCTTGAAATGGAAGATTTGAAATGATTAAAAATAAATAAGTGTTTCAGGCATACTGTCTTTCATGCTCATGTCTCTCAGTCTAACGCTTTGCTAACGAAATGCTCTGTATTGATGAGGATGGCCATGTTGCGGTCGAAACATTTTTTGAGGATGTGATTGTTTTCAAGCAGATGGAGGCTGAGTATGTATTTACACAGGATAATGAGCTGTGTGTTTATTCTTTTAAAAAATACTTCCCCACCCACCACCACCTTTTGGGCCGATTTTCACTGTCAACTCTCACCTTGTGTCTGAGAATGTCTTATGACCATCAATCACTATTAAGGTCTCATCTTGTGCCTGAGAATGTCTTATGGCAGCCATCAGTGTCAAGGTCTCACCTTGTGTCTGAGAATGTCTTTATCACCGACCATCACTGTCAAGGTCTCACCTTGTGCCTGAGAATGTCTTTATCGCCGACCATCACTGTCAAGGTCTCATCTTGTGTCTGAGAATTTCTTTATCGCCGACCATCACTGTCAAGGTCTCATCTTGTGTCTGAGAATGTCTTTATCACCGACCATCACTGTCAAGGTCTCACCTTGTGTCTGAGAATGTCTTGTGACAGACCATCAGTGTTAAGGTCTCACCCTGTGTCTGAGAATGTCTTATGGCCGACCATCAATGGCAGCTAGTGTCTCACCTGTTTCGAAGAATGCCTTGTGGTCGACTATCACTGTCAAGGTCTCATCTTGTGCCTGAGAATGTCTTATGGCCGACCATCACTGTCAATGTCTCACCTTGTGCCTGAGAATGTCTTTATGGCCGACCATCACTGTCAAGGTCTCACCTTGTGCCTGAGAATGTCTTTATCGCCGACCATCACTGTCAAGGTCTCATCTTGTGTCTGAGAATGTCTTCTGGCCAACTATCACTGTCAAGGTCTCATCTTGTGCCTGAAAATGTCTTTATCACCGACCATCACTGTCAAGGTCTCATCTTGTGTCTGAGAATGTCTTCTGGCCAACTATCACTGTCAAGGTCTCATCTTGTGTCTGAAAATGTCTTTATCACCGACCATCACTGTCAAGGTCTCATCTTGTGCCTGAGAATGTCTTTATCGCTGACTTTCACTGTCAAGGTCTGACCCTGTGTCTGAGAATGTCTTATGGCCGACCATCAATGGCAGCTAGTATCTCACCTGTTTCGGAGAATGCCTTGCGGTCGACTATCAACGCAATGTCTCACCTTGTTCCGGAGAATGCCTTTATGGCCGACAACTTCCTGGAAAATATGTTTCCCCACGTGGGAGTCAACAGCGCTCAGAGGGTCATCCATGAGGTATATGTCGGCGTCACTGTAGATGGCCCGAGCCAGGGACACACGCTGCTTCTGTCCCCCACTGAGGTTGATGCCCTGGGAAGGAAACAGTTCCAGGTGAGCTTAGGTAAATGAGAAGATTGTGTTTCAATGTAAAGCTACATTATCACTGAGGTTGATGCCTTGTCGAGGAAACACTGCAAATTTAGTTTTGGTAAAAGAAAATATATTATATGTAGCTTTGACAGCTCTTTATTAATATTGGGACTGCAAGTGCAGCTAGACATAGGTTGAAATATTCTAGAAACCAGAAGTATGCATTTTAACCTACATATGTTACAATCATTATTTGACACTGCCTCCCAACAGCTTATAAAGACGTTCTTTCTGGAGTAAATATTATCTTTCGCAGGAACAGGTCCGTCATATTATTATGTGTTTAATAAGAGGTTTTACTTTTTGATTGACCAATCATTGCAGAACTGTGTTTTACATGATGATCAACGCAAACTCTATCACTGTTTTTTAGACACGTAGAAGGAAAAGTTGAATGTGACACAGCATAGCCTATAATCATATTCTATGTGGGAATTAACACGTTACATCCGGGATTCAAACCCACACCCAAATGAAAGTCCGACAGCTGGTAGTCTAGATCACGTACACATAACGTTTGTAAATGGCATTGTGTATTCACAATTTTCTGCCATCTGAGAGGGGTACACAACGTACGTGGTCTAGACTACCAGTTGTCGGACTTTCATTTTTTATGGAAGCCTTGGTGGCTTGAGCGGTTTAGATCGCTCACCTTGTGTGCTGGTGATTAGGCGCCTCACTCTGAGAGTGTGGCTTCGAATATCGATTGGGACTCAACCCCCCAAAAGTACCAGAATTTGTACTTTACTGAGAAAGTGTTATCCTAAATATAACCTGTGTTACATTTGACCACTTTCTAGATGGCATTGTGTAATCACTCTATGCGGAATGTAAACTTCCAATAACAACCTACTTCTACGACTACTACTACTACCACTTCTACTACTACTACTCAACCTACTTTCTCTCCTATTTCAATCATATCTTTTCCAGGCAATATCTCGAGGTCGGAGGTCAAGGCACAGGCCTCAACAATTTTCTTGTACTTCTTCTCATGGTGTTCCTGCCCAAAGGTGATGTTGTCTCGCAGAGTGGCATTCTGGATCCACGCTTCTTGAGGCACGTATGCAACGGAGCTCTGAAAGTCAGATTTCAAGATTTCTCAGAGGAAACTATAGACTTTGGAAGGCAATATTAGTGCCTTTATTGCAACGGTATCGAAAACATAAACGCCACCAGTGGTCATTTTTACTTGCGAGGCACTGCAATCGAATCTGATAATTGTAAGATAAATATATCCAGTGCGCTAAGGTAAGGCGATGGTTAAATAGGTTTTAACGCTGCGTCCAAGATTATTGCACGTATATAGCGACGTGCATGCACGTGTGTGTGTGGCTGCTTGTACTAGTCCGGACTGATGCCGATTTATAGTGCTAGCATACAGATACCATGCCGCAGTTTAACATGAATACCTCACTCAGACACAGTATACTGACTCCGAGCCGACCAGTCGTTGCTTTAGCCCCTTAATGCCGAGCGCCAGACAGGGTAACAACAAGTACCATCTTTTAACATCTTTTGGAATGACGCGGCCGGGGATCGAACCCGGGACCTTCCGCTCTCCGGGCAGACGCTCTACCACTAGACCACAGAGGCAGTCGTCTTGTGCACTAAGAAGAGAGGGTCAGGTTGTAAGTTTGTGAGGTCATGTTGTGTGTCGGGAGGATCTTCCCATGTGTTGGGGAGGTCATTGTCTGTATTTGGAGGGTCTTCCCGTGTGTTGGGAGGGTCATTGTCAGTATTCGGAGGGTCTTCCCTTGTGTTGGGGAGGTCATTGTCTGTATTTGGAGGATCTTCCCGTGTGTTGGGGAGGTCATTGTCTGTATTTGGAGGGTCTGCCCGTGTGTTGGGGAGGTCATTGTCTGTATTCGGAGGGTCTTCCCGTGTGCTGGGAGGGTCATTGTCTGTATTTGGAGGGTCTTCCCGTGTGTTGGGGAGGGTCATTGTCTGTATTTGGAGGGTCTTCTTGAATGTTCGGGAGGTCATTGTCTGTATTTGGAGGCTCTTCTTGTGTGTTGGGAGGTTCTTGATGTGTGTTGGGAGGGTCTTGATGTGTGTTGGGAGACAGATGTTGTGTTGGGAGGGTCACGTTGTGTTGGGAAGGTCACGTTGTGTTGCGAGGGTCATGTTGTGTTTGGAGGCTCATGCTGTGTTGGGAGGCTCATGCTGTGTTGGGAGGCTCATGCTGTGTTGGGAGGCTCATGCTGTGTTGGGAGGCTCATGCTGTGTTTGGAGGCTCATGCTGTGTTGGGAGGCTCATGCTGTGTTGGGAGGCTCATGCTGTGTTGGGAGGCTCATGCTGTGTTGGGAGGCTCATGCTGTGTTGCGAGGCTCATGCTGTGTTGGGAGGCTCATGCTGTGTTGGGAGGCTCATGCTGTGTTGCGAGGCTCATGCTGTGTTGGGAGGCTCATGCTGTGTTGGGACAGCTCATGCTGTGTTTGGAGGCTGACGTTGTGTTTTGAGGCGCATGCTGTGTTGGGAGGGTCACGTTGTGTTGGGAAGGTCACGTTGTGTTGCCAGGGTCATGTTGTGTTTGGAGGCCCATGCTGTGTTGGGAGGGTCCTGTTGCTTACCTTGACGGTGACACTGCCGCTGAGTTTGTCCATCTCACCCAGCATGGCGGAGATGAGAGAGGACTTCCCCGCCCCCACCTGTCCCACCACCGCCACCAGCTTACCCTCGGGGATCTCCAGGTTCACTCTGGATAAAGTCAGAAATATATGTCAGTAGGTCTCCACAGGGGAACTGGCCCACCACCGGCACCAGCTTTCCCTCGGGGATCTGCAGGTTCATTCTGAGGAAAGTCAGAAATGTATGTCAGTAGGTCTCTACAGGGGACTGGCCCACCATCGCCACCAGCTTACCCTCGGGGATCTCCAGGTTCACTCTGGATAAAGTCAGAAATATATGTCAGTAGGTCTCTACAGGGGGACTGTCCCACCACGGCCACCAGCTTACCCTCGGGGATCTCCAGGTTCACTCTGGATAAAGTCAGAAATATATGTCAGTAGGTCTCTACAGGGGGACTGGCCCACCATCGCCACCAGCTTACCCTCGTGGATCTCCAGGTTCATTCTGGATAATGTCAGAAATATATGTCAGTAGGTCTCTACAGGGGGACTGGCCCACCATCGCCACCAGCTTACCCTCGGGGATCTGCAGGTTCACTCTGGATAATGTCAGAAATGTATGTCAGTAGGTCTCTACAGGGGAACTGACCCGCCACCGCAACCAGTGTACCTGGAGGATCTGCAGGTTCACTCTGGATAAAATCAGAAATATATGTCAGTAGGTCTTAACAGGGGGACTGGCCCACCACCGGCACCAGCTTTCCCTCGGGGATCACCAGGTTCATTCTGAGGAAAGTCAGAAATATATGTCAGTAGGTCTCTACAGGGGAACTGACCCGCCACCGCAACCAGCTTTCCCTCGGGGATCTCAAGGTTCACTCTGGATAAAGTCAGAAATAAATGTCAGTAGGTCTCTACAGGGGAACTGACCCGCCACCGCAACCAGTGTACCTGGAGGATCTGCAGGCTCACTCTGAGGAAAGGCAGAAATATATGTCAGTAGGTCTAAACAGAGGGAACCGACCCATCACCGCAACCAGTGTATAACAGTAGTAACCATTTACCAAATACATCACGTTGGGCCGACAAGCCGTAATATAACAAAGATGTGCATTGACAATATGTTTAGTTGCTGCCACATGGCATGTCTGTTTGTAAGTAAGACCTAAAGTAAAACACCGATTTTCCTCAATAGTGATCCTCTGCTGTTTCTACTGTCCACGAGCCAGGAGGCTAGCAGTTAGACAAACTCCTGCAGGAAGACACTGATAGACTGACTCACTTCCTCAAGGTAGGTTTTGGCAGCTCTCTGTCCCAAGTGAAATTCCCTTGCTCAACCTTGATAGCCGCATCTGAAACATTTGACACCATCCGAATCAGCCATGTTCGTATATGCCTGAGTCTTATACAGGATCCTTTTGTGCGACAACTCCTGTCCACTTTGATATATCTTAATATCAGTTATACAATCTTCTGAAAACTTATAGAGAGTTGGCAAGTTTCATTGCTGTGTGAGAATTACAAGCGACTGTCACAAGAGCTTGTGTATAATTTATAAACCTATTCATTGGGATCGCTCTTAAGTAAGAGACTTCTTTCTATAGGCATTAACACATATTGTGAGGTTTTACTTTCCAGTCGGGTTAAATCTCATAAACAGGGACGTTGTAATGTCCCTGGGATTTTATTTAATATCCGATGGATTTTATATAATGTCCTGGGTATGTTATTAATATAAGTTCCGTTCAGATTGTAACATGTAATGAAATGTAAAATCAAATGACAAATGTTTTCTTTAAGTTCCCGAGGATCGAACTCGCAACCTTCATATCTGTAGCCCAGTGAGTGTACCACGAGGCTACATAGGTGTTAATAAGCCTCACTGGTTTTTAGAATGTCCTTTTCAAGATCCGTACGCCAGCAACAGATATTTTACGCGCGTTTCCTAAGGTTCATGGAAAGTATGTTCGAAACATAAAAATGTTGGTAAATGTTGTTTTAAGTTTCTTTTTTTCGGTTTATAAGCAGGGAAAAACACTTTCCCTCGGTTTTGGTAGACAGAGCATGCCCTGGGGGTCGGAAAAAACCGCGGGGGCTTCGCCCCCTTTGTTTTTCCCCCTCCCCAGGGCATGCTCTGTCTACCAAAACCGAGGGAAAGTGTTTTCTCCAATACGTAAAGAGGATCCTTACTCTTCACATCATAGAAATGTAGCGGAATTATATCCTGTCAATATTCCCTATATGTGGCGGGACCTGTCGTTGAACAGTTTACAGAGGAGTCTTACAATATCACTACTCCCTTGCTGCCCGGGGCATCATGTAGCGGAATTATGTCCTGTCAATATTCCCTATATGTGGCTGGACCTGTGTAAGAACAGTTTACAGAGGAGTCTTACAATATCACTACTCCCTTGCTGCCCGGGGCATCATGTAGCGGAATTATGTCCTGTCAATATTTCCTATATGTGGCTGGACCTGTCGTTGAACAGTTTACAGAGGAGTCTTACAACATTACCGCGGCATCATGTAGCTGATGGGTTTGGGGTCAGTCATCACGATGTGTTGAGCTGACGGAATCAGTGTACTTCTACTTGTTACCTGAAGTCCCTGCTACTAGTGTGGTGGCAAGCTATCTCTTGTGACAATAGTATTGTATCTGCACTGACCACTGTGTGGTGGCAAGCTATCTCTTGTGACAATAGTATTGTATCTGCACTGACCACTGTGTGGTGGCATGCTATCTCTTGTGACAATAGTATTGTATCTGCACTGACCACTGTGTGGTGGCAAGCTATCTCTTGTGACAATAGTATTGTATCTGTACTGACCACTGTGTGGTGGCAAGCTATCTCTTGTGACAATAGTATTGTATCTGTACTGACCACTGTGTGGTGGCAAGCTATCTCTTGTGACAATAGTATTGTATCTGTACTGACCACTGTGTGGTGGCATGCTATCTCTTGTGACAATAGTATTGTATCTGTACTGACCACTGTGTGGTGGCAAGCTATCTCTTGTGACAATAGTATTGTATCTGTACTGACCACTGTGTGGTGGCAAGCTATCTCTTGTGACAATAGTATTGTATCTGTACTGACCACTGTGTGGTGGCAAGCTATCTCTTGTGACAATAGTATTGTATCTGTACTGACCACTGTGTGGTGGCAAGCTATTTCTTGTGACAATAGTATTGTATCTGTACTGACCACTGTGTGGTGGCAAGCTATCTCTTGTGACAATAGTATTGTATCTGCACTGACCACTGTGTGGTGGCATGCTATCTCTTGTGACAATAGTATTGTATCTGCACTGACCACTGTGTGGTGGCATGCTATCTCTTGTGACAATAGTATTGTATCTGTACTGACCACTGTGTGGTGGCAAGCTATCTCTTGTGACAATAGTATTGTATCTGTACTGACCACTGTGTGGTGGCAAGCTATCTCTTGTGACAATAGTATTGTATCTGTACTGACCACTGTGTGGTGGCAAGCTATCTCTTGTGACAATAGTATTGTATCTGTACTGACCACTGTGTGGTGGCAAGCTATCTCTTGTGACAATAGTATTGTATCTGCACTGACCACTGTGTGGTGGCAAGCTATCTCTTGTGACAATAGTATTGTATCTGTACTGACCACTGTGTGGTGGCAAGCTATTTCTTGTGACAATAGTATTGTATCTGTACTGACCACTGTGTGGTGGCAAGCTATCTCTTGTGACAATAGTATTGTATCTGTACTGACCACTGTGTGGTGGCAAGCTATCTCTTGTGACAATAGTATTGTATCTGTACTGACCACTGTGTGGTGGCATGCTATCTCTTGTGACAATAGTATTGTATCTGTACTGACCACTGTGTGGTGGCAAGCTATCTCTTGTGACAATAGTATTGTATCTGCACTGACCACTGTGTGGTGGCAAGCTATCTCTTGTGACAATAGTATTGTATCTGTACTGACCACTGTGTGGTGGCAAGCTATCTCTTGTGACAATAGTATTGTATCTGTACTGACCACTGTGTGGTGGCATGCTATCTCTTGTGACAATAGTATTGTATCTGTACTGACCACTGTGTGGTGGCAAGCTATCTCTTGTGACAATAGTATTGTATCTGTACTGACCACTGTGTGGTGGCAAGCTATCTCTTGTGACAATAGTATTGTATCTGTACTGACCACTGTGTGGTGGCATGCTATCTCTTGTGACAATAGTATTGTATCTGTACTGACCACTGTGTGGTGGCATGCTATCTCTTGTGACAATAGTATTGTATCTGTACTGACCACTGTGTGGTGGCAAGCTATCTCTTGTGACAATAGTATTGTATCTGCACTGACCACTGTGTGGTGGCATGCTATCTCTTGTGACAATAGTATTGTATCTGCACTGACCACTGTGTGGTGGCATGCTATCTCTTGTGACAATAGTATTGTATCTGTACTGACCACTGTGTGGTGGCAAGCTATCTCTTGTGACAATAGTATTGTATCTGTACTGACCACTGTGTGGTGGCAAGCTATCTCTTGTGACAATAGTATTGTATCTGTACTGACCACTGTGTGGTGGCAAGCTATCTCTTGTGACAATAGTATTGTATCTGTACTGACCACTGTGTGGTGGCAAGCTATTTCTTGTGACAATAGTATTGTATCTGTACTGACCACTGTGTGGTGGCAAGCTATCTCTTGTGACAATAGTATTGTATCTGTACTGACCACTGTGTGGTGGCAAGCTATCTCTTGTGACAATAGTATTGTATCTGTACTGACCACTGTGTGGTGGCATGCTATCTCTTGTGACAATAGTATTGTATCTGTACTGACCACTGTGTGGTGGCAAGCTATCTCTTGTGACAATAGTATTGTATCTGCACTGACCACTGTGTGGTGGCAAGCTATCTCTTGTGACAATAGTATTGTATCTGTACTGACCACTGTGTGGTGGCAAGCTATCTCTTGTGACAATAGTATTGTATCTGTACTGACCACTGTGTGGTGGCATGCTATCTCTTGTGACAATAGTATTGTATCTGCACTGACCACTGTGTGGTGGCATGCTATCTCTTGTGACAATAGTATTGTATCTGTACTGACCACTGTGTTGTTGCAAGCTATCTCTTGTGACAATAGTATTGTATCTTTACTGACCACTGTGTGGATCCTGTCGGACGTTCAAGTCATCCAGATCCTTGGCCCGGAGAAACTTGGACACACGAGAGACGGACACCCAGCCCTGTCGAGAGAATGTGGTAAATGTTAAGAATAATTGTGAATGAGTGAGTGAGTGAGTTTGGGATGAGTGTGGTGTAGATGATGATGATGATGATGATGATGGTGGTGGTGGTGATGATGATGATGATGATGATGATGATGATGATGATGATGATGGTGGTGGTGGTGGTGATGACGTTTGTCGTGGTGATGATAGTGATGATGATGATGATGATGATGGTGATGGTGATGATGACGTTTGTTGTGGTGATGATAGTGATGACTGCGGTGGTGAGTATGATGATGATGATGATGAAGACGATGATGAAGATGATAATGATGATGTATATTAATGAATATACAGCCTTTTATATCAGCTAGCTATTAAACTTAGAAATTCTAAAAAAATATATAAATTGATCTGCTCCGTCACAATGTGCACAATATTATCAAATACATTCCGATCTGTTCTGTCCTGTTCTGTTGAAGACGACGACGACATTGGTGATGATGACGATGATGATGATGACGACGACTTAAAGACAAAATGTTCTTTCTAGAGAGGCCTCGTTGGTTTCCCTGAAATATCTTAAATATCACATACCAGGAATATATTGCCTTTGGCGAGAATGAAACGTTTGTCTTATTCCCTATATATTATATTTACGAATTGGAAACACACGAGGGTAACAATGTTGTTATCATATGATGTCATTCTTTACATACTGGATGTTCAGACGTAACTTCACTCAAGTAACTTCAGAGAGAACAGAGACTGTGTTTGATTTGTAACCAGAATTTTATTGAGGACGAATATCATTTTATGCTTATATGCAATGCTTATAGTGATTTAAGAGCTGAATATATTTCTCCTAAATATTTTACAACCCCTTCTAAAAATATATTTAATGCTCTTATGTCATCCACTAACTTTAAAATCATACGAAATCTAGCAGTCTACGTTTACAAAGCTTTTCGACTTCGTTCATTGCATACAGTCTAAATATATTATTTGTGTATATGCATGTGTATGTATATGAATGTGTATGCATATGGATATATGTGTAAAATAGTGGTAATTCTTTTTTCTCTCTCTCTGTAAATAGTTCTGTGTCATAGGCCTACGGCCTAACACTCTTTGTGAATAAACACAATATATAACTTCGGAAACCGCACATGAAAACGTTGTTTGAGTAAACCGCACAACTTATGATAAATGCCATATGGTCTAAGTCTATAAGCAACGCTAGGCAATAGTGTATTGAGAAAGAAGGCATCGCATTGATACATGGCGTTTGAAAGTAGTTCCTCCTGGTATACCTCATTTGCATATTTATCACATCATGATGCGAAATTTAGCAGTGTAATTGCATTGAGGCCTTTACACGATAGAACTATGCCCCGGTATCTTATGCTCGTATAAGAGCCGGTGAAAGACGTTGACGCAGATGTCTGAATGAATATTATTTCAGTCACTAGTATGCAGGGTGCAGATTGAGTGTATGTAGGCCACTTTGGTATCACTCGGATATAACCGTGACTGCTGTCACGCACCCATTATACAAGATCGTGACATTGTCGCGTCGATTTGGATTATGGCGCATGAGATACGACCTACTTTTGGCATTTGGGCGGATGGTTTCCAATACATAATAAATGAATAAACATCACCCTCTATACCTGTGTATGTATCAACACGCTTATGCATTTTCTAACAGGACTGTGTCAAACCCTCATCTAATGATGACAATGGCTTTCAACATTATCGGGCGGTGGTGTAGCCAAGTGGATAAAGCGTCCGCTCGTCACGCGAACCGGGTTCGATTCCCCACCTGGGTAAAATGTGTTAAGCTCATTTCTGGTGGCCTCGCGTGATGTAAGTGAATTACTGCTCAAAATGGCGTCATACCACCCGGTGTTCTCCAAAGAAAGTTACCAATGCATGTGTCAACAGACTGTTCATCAATTCATTTTGTTTGGGGTCATTCGAGAACTGTGATCAACTTCTACATCTGACATCTCTTGATGACTTCATTTCTACTTCAACACACCGATTTAAACCCTTTGGATTTATTGTTTTCTACAAATTACTCACGTCCCTTAAGATGAAAAAGGCGCTGGGGTAGTTTAGTGGTTAAAACGTTTGCTGGTCACGCAATTTCCGGTGTCCTCCACCGTGATATTGCCGGAATATTGCTAAACACGGCGTAAAACCATATTCACTCACTATGATGAAAACAATTAGGTTTTTACTAGGTACATTGTGACACTTTATTCGAAGAAATGTAATTTTATTTGATTAAGTTTTGCCGCCACTGTATGCTTGCCAGCCACCGGATATGGAAGTATGCTAAACTAAAAGCCGGACAATCCTTTCCAAGGGGAGGTAACTCCTACCGTTTAATTTGTTTCACTCTGGAAAAACACTTTATTGTTTTATGTAAATCCCCGTAGTAAGGCGTGCACGCCGTTTTTTTAAATGTAAAAACTGAATAAACGCAAAAAAATATTAATTTGTATTATAAATAAATATGTAAAAAATAATAACTTCATGACTGCTCATTTAATCATGAACGCAACAAATCTGTCGACAGAAGGACGAAATGCTACACAAGTCCCGCCCACTCTTCCATCAGCCGATTCGGATACGTATTTATTGTTGGCAACTTAAATGCTACGGAATCACTTGCACTTTATTTATTGATAGTGTCATATTTCATTTTATGGTTTGTTTCCAAAAGATTTCAAAAGATTTGGTCATTGCAAAGTGTTTCAAAAGACCTGCACAATTACTCCAAAAACGAAAATTGGCGCGTTTCTCAAACACACAAGGTGGAACAATGTCTTTTATGTTTGCTGACTTGGAAGACCTTTTGCTGGAGAGGTGAAAAACACATTTCTTAAATATTAAGCGATTTTAGTGCATGATGGCTCGTTAGAAAGCTCTTCAAATTCTAAGACGTTTGATACCAAATCCGACAGACGTTTGATGGGTCGTTAGAGAAATACAGCCGTTTGAAGGTGTCCAAATTGACGTCACAGGCCTCTGTTAGGGTGATTCGGCATAAAGATGCCATGGATGCTTAACGTGTGTATTGGTAGGATTTGAAACCCAGGTATAATAAGGCTGGAATTCGCATGCGATACATTTCGAGTGTATCTCAATCCTACCTTGCGAAAATATGTTTATGTCTATTTCAAGGGGCAGTTTCGGGGGTAAGTGAGGTGAGGTGAAATGGGGTTTACCTTCGCGTCCAAGATTATTGTACTTATATAGCGACGTGCATGTACGTGTGTGTGTTTGTGTGGCTGCTTGTACTAGTCCGGACTGATGCCGATTTATAGTGCTTGCTCACTGAGATACCATGCAGCAGTTTAACATGAATACCCCACTCAGACACAGTATACTGACTCCAAGTCGACCAGTCCTTGTTTTAGCCCCTTAATGCCGAGTGCCAGACAGGGTAACAACAAATACCATCTTTTAACGTCTTAAATCGAACTCCGCTCTCCGGGCGGACGCTCTACCACTAGACCACGGAGGCGGTCGTTTCGGGGGTAGTCCTACCTGTATTAGGAACTGGACTATCATGGGTAGAGTGATCATGGGCATCCGGAGAATGTTGAAGAGAGAGAGCGACACGAAGGCTTTCTGTGCGTCCAGCACGTTGTCAGGCGAGGACAGGATGTAGGCAGAAAATGTCGCCAGTGTCAACTGCAACATCAACATCTCAAGAAGGATTGCCCAATCAAAGAAAAGGAAACGTTTTTAAATATTGAATAGCCTGGATTTGAAAACTAGAAAAATAGAAATATTTGATAATAAAATTAACATAGTGAGATTCGGAACACATGTTGGTTCAAGATCTTAATTGGTATCATCCAGAAAGCAAGTATCTTGTACATGCCAGACAGGTGACACTTGTATATCTCAGACAGGTGAAATCACATGCCAGACAGGTGACACTTGTACATGCCAGACAGGTGACACTTGTACGTGCCAGACAGGTGATACTTGTACATGCCAGACAGGTGACACTTGTACATCTCAGACAGGTGAAATCACATGCCAGACAGGTGACACTTGTTCATGCCAGACAGGTGACACTTGTACATGCCAGACAGGTGACACTTGTACATGCCAGACAGGTGACACTTGTACGTGCCAGACAGGTGATACTTGTACATGCCAGACAGGTGACACTTGTACATCTCAGACAGGTGACACTTGTACATGTCAGACAGGTGACACTTGTACATGCCAGACAGGTGACACTTGTACATGCCAGACAGGTGACACGTGTACATCTCAAACATGTGAAATCACATGCCAGACAGGTGACACTTGTACATCTCAGACAGGTGACACTTGTACACGCCAGACAGGTGACACTTGTACATGCCAGACAGGTGACACTTGTACATGTCAGACAGGTGACACTTGTACATGCCAGACAGGTGACACTTGTACATGCCAGACAGGTGACACTTGTACGTGCCAGACAGGTGACACTTGTACATCTCAGACAGGTGACACTTGTACACGCCAGACAGGTGACACTTGTACATGCCAGACAGGTGACACTTGTACATGCCAGACAGGTGACACTTGTACATGCCAGACAGGTGACACTTGTACATGCCAGACAGGTGACACTTGTACATGCCAGACAGGTGACACTTGTACATGCCAGACAGGTGACACTTGTACATGTCAGACAGGTGACACTTGTACATGCCAGACAGGTGACACTTGTACATGCCAGACAGGTGACACTTGTACGTGCCAGACAGGTGACACTTGTACATGCCAGACAGGTGACACTTGTACATGCCAGACAGGTGACACTTGTACATGTCAGACAGGTGACACTTGTACGTGCCAGACAGGTGACACTTGTACATGCCAGACAGGTGACACTTGTACACGCCAGACAGGTGACACTTGTACATGCCAGACAGGTGACACTTGTACGTGCCAGACAGGTGACACTTGTACATGCCAGACAGGTGACACTTGTACATGCCAGACAGGTGACACTTGTACATGTCAGACAGGTGACATTGGTACATGCCAGACAGGTGACACTTGTAGATGCCAGACAGGTGACACTTGTACATGCCAGACAGGTGACACTTGTCCACAGCTGGACGACTCACCAGGTATGGGGGGCGGTTGGGTAGCCGAGTGGTTAAAGCGTTCGCTCGTCACGCCGAAGACCCGGGTTCGATTCCCGACATGGGTACAATGGGTGAAGCCCATTTCTGGTGTCCCCCGCCGTGATATTGCTGGAATATTGCTAAAAGCGCCGTGATATTGCTGGAATATTGCTAAAAGCGGCAAAACAATATTCACTCACTCACTCACCAGGTATGGAGCAGTTCTCCACAAGAAGGACATGACGGCGTTGAAGTAGGCTACTTTCCTGAGCAGGGCCAACTCCTGGCGTCGGATGTCCTGCACCTTCTCCTGGAAGGACAGCTCCCAGGCGTACAGCTTCAGCACCTGGCACATAAATGTTCATGATGTCAATCACTGGAGTGTCTGGTCCAGGCTCGATTATTTTACAGACCGCCGTCATATAGCTGGAATAGTGCTGAGTGCAGCGTTAAACAACAAACAAACATAAGGAAAATCAGATATTTTCAAGACCCGTGAATATCTGGGGTAGAAAAGGTCTTCAGCAACCCATGCTTCAGCATCTGGCAAAATAAAGTGTAACCAAACAGAATATTAAATAACACAAGACCTTACAATACAAGACAGGAAACATGAATTGAGGCCCGTGAAGATCCGGGGTAGAATAGGTCTTCAGCAACCCATTCTTGCTGTAAAAGGCGACTATGCTTGTCGTAAGAGGCACACGACCACACGCGGGATTGTACAAACTACAAAGCATTTGCACGTTTTGTCTGTTGTTTAACGCCGCACTCAGGAATATTACAGCTATATGACGGCGGTCTGTAAATAATCGAGTCTGGACCAGGCGATCAATTTACATCGTGAGGATCGATCCACGCAATTGGGATCGACGACATGCATCAACCAAGTCAGTGACCCTGACCACCTGATCCCGTTAGTCGGCTCTTACAACAAGCATAGTCGCCTTTTACGTCAAGCAGGGGTTGCTGAAGACCTATTCTACCCCGGATCTTCACGGGTCGTATTTGCAAGTATGCAGCCACATGTACCTAATTTTTTAGACGCCCTAGAAATCCTGTCTTATACCGTTGCTATCGTTTAAGGGAAATACACGCTAACTACGACCTTATACCAGATATCCTACCGTAATCACAGTGCGGAGTTTCGGAATGCCATCATTTCTGTTTTGAGAAACACATGTCCGGTGCAGTACAAACTTCAAACCGAAATTCCTATGCCCCAACTACCAAAGTACGAAAGTTGCATGAACTTCCGGTTTAATTATATTTCGGAAAAAACAAATGCATTTTTAGTGCGACGTTACATCAGAACGCCCGTTTCACCAAGTTACCATGAAAGGTTATTTGCACTTTCGGCTAATAAGCTGCAGCCTCATCATGTCCTTTTTGTTTCTAGATGGAAACCTAGGCGCTAGCTCATACAATTATGACTTATCAACAGGTTTGTTTGTTCAGTAACAGAAGTAGAACTACGTTGCGAATGACAATGTAAGATTGAAAATACACTGTATGCCGCTGTTTGAAATTAGGGCATCGTGACATGCTGCATCTAAAATTGTTATTACTTGTAATGAGTGTGAGTGAGTGAGTATGGTTTTACGCCGCTTTTTTTAAAGCAATATTCCAGCAATATCACGGCGGGGGACACCAGAAATGGGCTTCACACATTGTACCCATGTCGGGAATCGAACCCGGGTCTTCGGCGTGACGAGCGAACGCTTTAACCACTAGGCTACCCGACCGCCCCTTATCACTTGTAAGACATAGGTTTTCAAATCATATAAAAACTACATACATAGGGCTTTACAATATCGCTAGGAAATGTTGGTTAGTGAACAGCCATACCCCGATCATCCCGTCACCCACCTTGATGCCATTGAGAACCTCACTCATCAATTTGATTCTGGAATCCTTCAGCTTCATCAGCTGGCGCTGGTACTGCCGCAGCTTGCCGGACAAGAAACTGTTTATCGGGAACAGCAGTACCACCACCCCAAGTCCTGCCAACACCGAGGGCCCCAGGATACCCCATAACATGTAAAACGCAATAGCGATCAGCAGAGGTGAGGACCAGACCACGTGTAGGAAGCCGGTAGTGTCCTGGAGACGCTGGCAGTCCACGGACATCAGGTTCACGATCTCTCCCACGGTGGATTTTTTCCGCGCATCACTGCTGATGGTCAGAGCCTGTGGAGGATGAGACGTACATGTGGTGCAACTAATGACATAATAAGATCATGGGATACTGTAAGATCACGAGCTTCTTTCAATATTCTAGAAATAACCCCGGGGGTATCAATGGTTTCCATGACGTTTTGTTTCAAACAAACTTTTAGCCGCCTCTCACTCGTGAGTGAACAATCCGTTGCTCATCCAGTATATACGTCATCGAGGGAAACAACAATCTCATAAAAATCAGTTACCGCTAAACAAAGATCTGAAGACATCCCATTCAGGGTCACGTCAGAACGACCTTTCATCCGACCAATCAGTGCGTCGCTTGCCAGATTATAAAAAGTGACAGTCGGAATGTGATTTCTAATCATGCAACCTCGAAAACTTTACCATGGGGTATTCTGAACGATAGTTACGGGTTTAACGACTGAATCCTTTCAATCTGGACCATCTATTAGCCATTCAAGAATGTTTTTTTGTTCAGGTTTAAAATTTGTAATCGAGAACTTGTCAAATATGTTTCGAAGCGTAGTCGCCAATTTGAAACTAGTGCCGTAAAGCACGAGAAAGCTGCCTTCTGATTGGTCATTCCATTGGTCGATCAAAGTTCGCGCAGGGTCGGTCTGACATGACCCTTAATGGGAGATGTCCTCAGATCTTTGTTTAGCGGTAGCGAGAACTAAGCTCTTATTTTAATGAGATTGAGGGACACAATGGCTGTAATACCTTCATGAAAGACACGGGGTTGGTGGGGAATCGAACACGGAGCATTGGCTTCACAAGAAAACTCATCTCCCTAACTACTGTATGGCAAATGGTGACTTTATATGAATGATAGGATATTGGCTTAAACGTCCATGAGGTCGGTCAGGGAGCATTGAAAGGTGACTACACTTATGACAGCCCTGTTTTAAGGTGACACTGACAACACGATAACATAACATAACATTTAACCCACATGATGACATGACATCGGATGCGCCTGTATCTTCACTAACTGACGTTCACTTCTATTGCAAGTACATGCAGGCCAGCGTCTATGAAACACATACATCCACTAGTCTTGCCTGAGACTGGTCGAAAGTATCTCGCATCGAGACAAGATATTCAAGATGTGTTGATTCATCGGGTCAGCGTGGTAATAAATACCCATAAGATGTGGGTGTTTTTTTTATGGTTTGAGTTTTTCAGGCATACCGATGCCATGGAAACCTTTTTTTTCTCTCAGTGCCATTCACGATGCTGCAGAATGAGTCTGACCTTCTTGTAGACAGCTGATATGACAGTAGACTTGATCCTCATCCCCAGCATCTTTAAACCCAATTCACTCACTCACTCACTCACTCCAGATGTATAATACATAGAGTTAGACACAATGCTGTAGAATGAGTCTGACCTTCTTGTAGATAGCTGATATGACAGTAGACTTGATCCTCATCCCCAGAATCTTTAAACCCAATTCACTCACTCACTCACTCACTCCAGATGTATAATACATAGAGTTAGACACAATGCTGTAGAATGAGTCTGACCTTCTTGTAGATAGCTGATATGACAGCAGACTTGATCCTCATCCCCAGCGTCTTTAAACCCATTTCACTCGCTCACTCACTCACTCACTCACTCCAGATGTATAATACATAGAGTGAGACACAATGCTGTAGAATGAGTCTGACCTTCTTGTAGACAGCTGATATGACAGCAGACTTGATCCTCATCCCCAGCGTCTTTAAACCCAAGTCACTCTCTCACTCACTCACTCCAGATGTATAATACATAGAGTTAGACACAATGCTGTAGAATGAGTCTGACCTTCTTGTAGACAGCTGATATGACAGCAGACTTGATCCTCATCCCCAGTGTCATGCTGATGTGGAAGTGCTGGTGGAAGAAACACGACTGAGTGAGGGCGATCACGAAGAAGGAGCAGGCGTAGACGTAGCCCTTCCACTCCTGCTCTGTAGCTCGGTTGTCGATGAAGGAAATCAACGCACTGAAACACAGAAGACCCAACAATGTAAATGAATACCCATAGCCTTACAACTCCTATTCCAGTCCCCCATGGCTTCGTAATCATATTTTAGGCATGCCAGAGACGATGACCGATGGTTGGAATCACAGAAGTGCTTATGATGATTTATATTTGGTGAGCAGAATATTTGTGCTGTAAGTTTCAACAAAGTGGTACACGTCTAAGACATGGATCCTTTCGGAACTTCCTCCCACATCAAGCTGACATGCTTGATATGACCAAAAAAATGTTAAGAGAGCGCTGTAACGAAAAAACACACTTGTTGTGGGAAGAAGCTCCATGATTGCAGAAGATGGTGAACCAAACAGCGCAGAAATTACTAATGCATAAATGTAAGTCGGGAAATCGAACCGACGACCCTGTGTATTCTTGAGCTAACACACTAGGGCTGAGACGATTCCAAATTTACTACCCGGGTACCCACCCAACTAAACTAGTGTCCAAAAGAAACGATACCAACTTATTTTCAAAATTGTTTTTTACTAAGTGAATTGTCAAGTATGAAAACATGCCAATTCGTATTGCACATCCCAAACACAGCATAGTCGATAAACAATACCGGGAACACGTGATCACTTCCGGGAAAAAATGTAAATTTCGTGAAAGTGACATTTCCCTCTCTAGCATGTTCTGCACGTGCAGAAAAACTGTATAAAACGGCTGATCAGACACGTTGATATCACAGCAACAAAAAGAACACAAGATATGCCACGTTTGACAGCCATCGAGAGAGAGAGAGAGCCGTTGGAATGGTCCAACAAGGAGCATCACACGTCGACGTCGCCAGAAGGCTGGGCTGCGCACGCATCACTATCACCAGGTTGATGCAGCGGTTACGTCAGACAGGTCAGACGTCAGACAGGCCCATGAGTGGAAGACCACGAGTAACCACGCCCCGTGAAGATCGTTACATCCGGGTATTACACCTGAGGAACCGCACCGTAACAGCGACGTCCACGGCGGCTACAGCACTGGGACACAGGATCAGTCGACAGACCGTCTACAGGAGACTACGGCAGTATGGTATCCGGCCACGTCATCCCTACCACGGACCGCTCCTGACGCCTCGACACCGGAACAACAGACTGATCTGGGCCAGGCGAGTTCGACGTTGGCAACAGCGGGACTGGGCACGTGTTATGTTCTCTGATGAGAGCAGATTCCTCATTTTCAGAAACGATGGACGGCAGCTTGTATACCGACGATTTGGTGAACGTTTGGCGCCTAACTGTATCCAACAGGTCCGGCCGTTTGGAGGTGGAGGGTTAATGGTTTGGGGTGGCATATGTGGTGACGTCAAAACGATGCTTGTCGTAATTCGTGGAAACCTGAATGCACAGCGTTATCTTGATGACATCCTACGGCCTGTTGTGGTGCCCTTTATTCAGCAACAGCCTCGTGGACTCCTTTTCCAACATGACAATGCAAGGCCACACACAGCAAGATTGACACAGAACTTCCTTGCCAACGCCAACGTACAGGTTTTGCCATGGCCCGCATGTTCACCGGACATGAATCCCATCGAGCACTTATGGGACCACCTCGATCGGCAAATCCGACGTCGCCGTGTGCCTCCAGTCAACGTCCAGGACTTGGAACGATGTCTCCTCGAGGAATGGCAACGCCATCAGACGTTTGACGTCATCAGTCCGTAGGCGTGTTCTGGCATGTATTGATGCTCACGGTGGACATACCCGCTACTGACTTGACTTTGAGACGTGTGGTGTGACATTTCCCGTTGTTTCTGTGATCAGTGCTCTAACGAAATGTTCATTTTTCGACCCCACCCATCTTTAAAGGCTTGTCATATTGGTTGTACAGATTTTATTGAAATGAAATTTTTGTACAGATGTTGTGAACGGATTTCTCAAAAGCATAACACCAATCCTAAACTTCTGCATTGTTTAGTTTTTCTTTTATGTCGTTGCAAACAGGTGGTATCGTTTCTTTTGGACACTAGTTTATTACCCGACCCTCCCCAGGTACCCGCTGTTGGTCTCAAGAGATAGGTACAACTGTTCAATTGGGAATATTTTGACCGTAGCCCTGGCAAGATGTATTTAGATACTCAAATAAAACGATCTGGCCATGCATACACTGAAGTTGACTGAAGTTTTAAGTCAGAAAGAGATGCGAACATTAGTCACTTACAGTACAACCGTGGAAATACTAGATAATGTTTGCTTTTAAACAATATATCACGTGACTGAACACGGGTCCGGGTAGTACTTTGGGTACCCGGATCCTACTAAGGACCCACCCGACCCGAGTACCCGAGTACCCGAGTTACCCGTCAAACACACATTACTCAGAGACAATTCGCCCTCCAACATGTACAACATCTGACCTGCAAAACCAATTATCAAATTACTTACACAAAAATATAAAAAATACAATCTGCACTAACTTACTTTGTAAGCAACGGGTTGACAAATGTCAGCAAGTCATATACAAATTTCATCAAATGGGAGATGAGGAGTGTCGGTCCATAGGTCTTCACCAACACTTTGAAAAAGGACGGCTGTGCCCGATGAGGTTTGTCCTTGTCCTTGACCTTGCTCTTGAAGGAGACGCCACCAGTGGTCACCTCCGAGGCGTCATATTGCACCATGTTGTGATGGGAAGTTGCTGCATCATTCCCATATCTGCAATTGAGGGGCATCATAGTCTGTAGGGGCTACCGCTGGGGCATTAGGTTTGGTTGAACTACTGCACAATAGGGACTGACTATTCAATATTCTTTCGTCAGATACAGTGAGTGAGTGAGTGAGTATGGTTATACGCCGCTGTTAGCAATATTCCAGCAATATCACGGCGGGGGACACCTGAAATGGGCTTCACACATTGTACCAATGTCGGGAATCGAACCCGGGCCTTCGGCGTGACGAGCCAACGCTTTAACCACTAGGCCACCCGACCGCCCCCTTGTCAGATACAGAATATCCGTCAGTGATTCAAAACACATTGTACTCTTTAAACACTTTTCACGATTCATTTTTGCCATGACATCCAGAATTTTGGGGAGCAAATATGGTTTTCAATTAAATCTCAGTCCAAGCCCTAAATACCTTTTTAGAATATTGATAAAATAAGTGATGAATACACATGGGGGAAATCCAAAATGTCTGAAATACAATCCAGTCACCCTCGTGTGATCGAGATGCTATTTTGTGGGTGAATGTAGAAACTGTGGATGTAAAGTTTGAAACATGTTCTGAAAGGGTTTGATAGTGATTTATAAACACATGCTGATTACATAGTCCGAATCGTACTGTCAACCCTGCTTTTAGCGGATATGTCTTAGGAATATGGAAAAAGGTTTTGTCACTTAAATCTACACGTCTCGTTTGTTTAACGCCGCACTCAGCAATATTCAAGCTATATGACGGCGGTCTGTAAATAGTCGAGTCTGGACCAGACAATCCAGTGATTGATATCATGAGCATCGATCCACGCAATTGGGATCGATGACATGCATCAACCAAGTCAGCGAGCCTGACCACCCGATCCCGTAAGTCGCCTTTTACGACAAGCATAGTCACCTTTTACAGCAAGCATGGGTTGCTGAAGACCTATTCTACCCCGGATCTTCACGGGTCCGTAAAAGATGCAAGAATCTGTACTTTTAGTTATGTCTAGAGCAGAATCAGAGGGAGTGGTCTAGTACTTTTCCTGGTTCTTCTTCTGTGTTCTTCTCACTTCCTTCACCCAAGCCTTCCAGAACTGGGGCAGAACCCTCTCACTCTTGTCCCTCGGGTGCAACTCAAACAGGTCCTCCTCCTCCAGAGATTTGCGATACCCTTTAAACAGCAGTCTGAAACAGAGGACAGCGGTCTGACACAGAGAGGACAGCAATCTGACACAGACACGACAAGACAACAGTCTGACACAGACACGACAAGACAGCAGTCTGACACAGAGAGGACAGCGGTCTGACAAAGAGAGGATAGCAGTCTGACACAGAGAAGAAAACAGTCTGACACAGAGAGGACAGCGGTCTGACACAAAGAGGACAACAGTCTGACACAGAGAGGACAGGACAGAAGTCTGACACAGAGAGGACAGGACAGCAGTCTGACACAGAGAGGACAACAGTCTGACACAGAGAGGACAGCGATCTGACACAGAGAGGACAGGACAGCAGTCTGACACAGAGAGGACAGGACAGCAGTCGGACACAGAGAGGACAGGACAGCAGTCTGACACAGAGAGGACAACAGTCTGACACAGACAGGACAACGGTCTGACACAGAGAGGACAGGACAGCAGTCTGACACAGAGGGGACAGGACAGCAGTCGGACACAGAGAGGACAGGACAGCAGTCGGACACAGAGAGGACAGGACAGCAGTCGGACACAGAGAGGACAGGACAGCGGTCTGACACAGAGAGGGCAGGACAGCAGTCTGACACAGAGAGGACAGCGGTCTGACACAGAGAGGACAGGACAGCAGTCTGACACAGAGAGGACAGTACAGCAGTCTGACACAGAGAGGACAGGACAGCAGTCTGACACAGAGAGGACAGGACAGCAGTCTGACACAGAGAGGACAGGACAGCAATCTGACACAGACACGACAAGACAGCAGTCTGACACAGAGAGGATAACAGCCTGACACAGACAGGACAGCAGTCTGACACAGAGAGGACAGCAGTCTGACACAGAGGGGACAGCAATCTGACACAGAGAGGACAGGACAGCAGTCTGACACAGAGAGGGCAGGACAGTAATCTGACACATAGAGGACAGCAGTCTGACACAGTGAGGACAGCAGTCTGACACAGAGAGGACAGGATAGCAGTCTGACACAGACAGGACAGGACAGCAGTCTGACACAGAGAGGACAGGATAGCAGTCTGACACAGAGAGGACAGCAGTCTGACACAGAGAGGATAGCAGTCTGACACAGACACGACAACAGTCTGACACAGAGAGGACAGCGGTCTGACACAGAGAGGACAGCGTTCTGACAAAGAGAGGACAGCAGTCTGACACAGAGAGGAAAACAGTCTGACACAGAGAGGACAGCAGTCTGACACAGAGAGGACACCAGGCTGACACAGAGAGGACACCAGGCTGACAGAGAGGACAGTAGTGAGACACAGAGAGGGCAGTAGTGAGACACAGAGAGGGCAGTAGTGAGACACAGAGAGGGCAGAAGTGAGACACAGAGAGGACAGTCGTCAGACACAGAGAGGACACCAGGCTGACACAGAGAGGACACCAGGCTGACACAGAGAGGACACCAGGCTGACAGAGAGGGCAGTAGTGAGACACAGAGAGGGCAGTAGTGAGACACAGAGAGGACACCAGGCTGACACAGAGAGGGCACCAGGCTGACAGAGAGGGCAGTAGTGAGACACAGAGAGGGCAGTAGTGAGACACAGAGAGGGCAGTAGTGAGACACAGAGAGGGCAGTAGTGAGACACAGAGAGGACACCAGGCTGACACAGAGAGGGCACCAGGCTGACAGAGAGGGCAGTAGTGAGACACAGAGAGGGCAGTAGTGAGACACAGAGAGGACACCAGGCTGACACAGAGAGGACACCAGGCTGACAGAGAGGGCAGTAGTGAGACACAGAGAGGGCAGTAGTGAGACACAGAGAGGGCAGTAGTGAGACACAGAGAGGACAGCAGTCTGACACAGAGAGGGCACCAGGCTGACAGAGAGGGCAGTAGTGAGACACAGAGAGGGCAGTAGTGAGACACAGAGAGGACAGTAGTGAGACACAGAGAGGACACCAGGCTGACACAGAGAGGACACCAGGCTGACAGGGAGGGCAGTAGTGAGACACAGAGAGGGCAGTAGTGAGACACAGAGAGGGCAGTCGTCAGACACAGAGAGGACAGTAGTGAGACACAGAGAGGACACCAGGCTGACACAGAGAGGACACCAGGCTGACAGAGAGGGCAGTAGTGAGACACAGAGAGGGCAGTAGTGAGACACAGAGAGGGCAGTCGTGAGACACAGAGAGGACAGCAGTCTGACACAGAGGGCACCAGGCTGACAGAGAGGGCAGTAGTGAGACACAGAGAGGGCAGTCGTGAGACACAGAGAGGGCAGTAGTGAGACACAGAGAGGACAGCAGTCTGACACAGAGAGGACACCAGGCTGACACAGAGAGGACACCAGGCTGACAGAGAGGGCAGTAGTGAGACACAGAGAGGGCAGTAGTGAGAAACAGAGAGGACAGTAGTGAGACACAGAGAGGGCAGTCGTCAGACACAGAGAGGACAGTAGTGAGACACAGAGAGGACACCAGGCTGACACAGAGAGGACACCAGGCTGACAGAGAGGGCAGTAGTGAGACACAGAGAGGGCAGTAGTGAGACACAGAGAGGGCAGTCGTCAGACACAGAGAGGACAGTAGTGAGACACAGAGAGGGCAGCAGTCTGACACAGAGAGGACACCAGGCTGACAGAGAGGGCAGTAGTGAGACACAGGGAGCACAAGACAGCAACGCTTTAGACAAGCCAAGAAAATATCCTCGACATTCTGATCATGCTGTCAAAATAATTGAAGATGAAACCATTATCGCTTTTGAGAATGTATTCGTGTGTGTACAAAAATACAATCTCAGGAAACGAAATGCAGCAATGCTTGTTCTTTTGAGAGGATAGCAATCTGACACAAGGAATACAAATTAATGGTTTAATTTCAAATTTCAAAACGACGAAAAATCTTAATCAACCACAGATTGATCGTTGTTTATCAAGGCGTGTTGGCTTGTACAACATGTCTGATGTCTGATGCGAGCACTCACGAGTTGATCCAGTGAAAAGTCACTCTGTTGAGAAAGGATGCCCTCGTCTCGGGGGACTGAACCTGTAATGAAGAAAGAAGAAGTGATGGTGCATCGCTAGCATTTCCAATAAAGTAGACTCCAAGTAATCGTCACAATGTGGCTGTATGCAGCCGACCTTCACCATGTGGTATTGTCTGCCCGACCTTCACCATGTGGTATTGTCTGCCTGACCTTCATCATGTGGTATTGTCTGCCCGACCTTCATCATGTGGTATTGTCTGCCTGACCTTCCCCATGTGGTATTGTCTGCCCGACCTTCACCATGTGGTATTGCCTATCCGACCTTCACCATGTGGTCATGTCTGCCCGACCTTCACCATGTGGTATTGTCTGCCCGACCTTCACCGTGTGGTATTGCCTATCCGACCTTCACCATGTGGTCATGTCTGCCCGACCTTCACCATGTGGTATTGTCTGCCCGACCTTCACCGTGTGGTATTGCCTATCCGACCTTCACCATGTGGTATTGTCTGCCCGACCTTCATCATGCGGTATTATTAAGCCTAACCACAGCTTACCTCCCTCGTGTGGTGGAATCAAGCTTACCTCCCTCATGTTGTGGAATGCAGCTTACCTCCCTCGTGTGGTGGAATCCAGCTTACCTCCCTCGTGTGGTGGAATACAGCTTACCTCCCTCGTGTGGTGGTATCCAGCTTACCTCCCTCGTGTGGTGGAATACAGCTTACCTCCCTCGTGTAGTGGAATCAAGCTTACCTCCCTCGTGTGGTGGAATACAGCTTACCTCCCTCGTGTGGTGGTATCCAGCTTACCTCCCTCGTGTGGTGGTATCCAGCTTACCTCGTGTGGCAGTTTCAAGCTTACCTCGTGTGGCAGTATTCAGCTTACCTCCCTCTTCTGATTGTATCCAGCTTACCTCCCTCGTGTGGCAGTATTGAGCGTACCTCCCTCTTCTGATGGTATCCAGCTTACCTCCCTCGTGTGGCAGTATCAAGCTTACCTCCCTCGTGTGGTGGTATCCAGCTTACCTCGTGTGGCAGTATCCAGCTTACCTCCCTCGTGTGGCAGTATCCAGCTTACCTTCCTCGTGTGGCAGTATCCAGCTTACCTCGTGTGGCAGTATCCAGCTTACCTCCCTCGTGTGGCAGTATCCAGCTTACCTCCCTCGTGTGGTGGTATCCAGCTTACCTCCCTCGTGTGGTGGAATCTAGCTTACCTCCCTCATGTGGTGGTATCCAGCTTACCTCCCTCGTGTGGCAGTATCAAGCTTACCTCCCTCGTCTGATGGTATCCAGCTTACCTCCGTGTTGCAGTATCCAGCTTACCTCCCTCGTGTTGCAGTATCCAGCTTACCTCCCTCATGTGGCAGTATCCAGCTTACCTCCCTCGTGTGGTGGTATCCAGCTTACCTCCCTCGTGTGGCAGTATCCAGCTTACCTCCCTCGTGTGGCAGTATCCAGCTTACCTCCCTCGTGTGGTGGTATCCAGCTTACCTCCCTCGTGTGGCAGTATCCAGCTTACCTCCCTCGTGTGGTGGTATACAACTTACCTCCCTCGTGTGATGGAATCTAGCTTACCTCCCTCGTGTGGTGGTATCCAGCTTACCTCCCTCGTGTGGTGGTATCCAGCTTACCTCCCTCGTGTGGTGGTATCCAGCTTACCTCGTGTGGCAGTATCCAGCTTACCTCCCTCGTGTTGCAGTATCCAGCTTACCTCCCTCGTGTGGTGGTATCCAGCTTACCTCCCTCGTGTGGCAGTATCCAGCTTACCTCCCTCCTGTGGTCGTATCTAGCTTACCTCCGTCGTGTAGTGGAATCTAGCTTACCTCCCTCGTGTGGTGGTATCCAGCTTACCTCCCTCGTGTGGTGGTATCCAGCTTACCTCGTGTGGCAGTATCCAGCTTACCTCCCTCGTGTGGTGGTATCCAGCTTACCTCCCTCGTGTGGCAGTATCCAGCTTACCTCCCTCCTGTGGTCGTATCTAGCTTACCTCCCTCGTGTAGTGGAATCTAGCTTACCTCCCTCGTGTGGTGGAATCCAGCTTACCTCCCTCGTGTGGTGGTATACAGCTTACCTCCCTCGTGTGGTGGAATCCAGCTTACCTCCCTCGTGTGGTGGTATACAACTTACCTCCCTCGTGTGGTGGAATCTAGCTTACCTCCCTCGTGTGGTGGTATCCAGCTTACCTCCCTCGTGTGGTGGTATCCAGCTTACCTCGTGTGGCAGTATCAAGCTTACCTCGTGTGGCAGTATTCAGCTTACCTCCCTCTTCTGATTGTATCCAGCTTACCTCCCTCGTGTGGCATTATTGAGCGTACCTCCCTCTTCTGATGGTATCCAGCTTACCTCCCTCGTGTGGCAGTATCAAGCTTACCTCCCTCGTGTGGTGGTATCCAGCTTACCTCGTGTGGCAGTATCCAGCTTACCTCCCTCGTGTGGCAGTATCCAGCTTACCTTCCTCGTCTGATGGTATCCAGCTTACCTCCCTCGTGTGGCAGTATCAAGCTTACCTCCCTCGTGTGGTGGTATCCAGCTTACCTCGTGTGGCAGTATCCAGCTTACCTCCCTCGTGTGGCAGTATCCAGCTTACCTTCCTCGTGTGGCAGTATCCAGCTTACCTCCCTCATGTGGTGGTATCCAGCTTACCTCCCTCGTGTGGCAGTATCCAGCTTAACTCCCTCGTCTGATGGTATCCAGCTTACCTCCCTCGTGTTGCAGTATCCAGCTTACCTCCCTCGTGTGGCAGTATCCAGCTTACCTCCCTCGTGTGGCAGTATCCAGCTTACCTCCCTCGTGTGGTGGTATCCAGCTTACCTCCCTCGTGTGGCAGTATCCAGCTTACCTCCCTCGTGTGGTGGTATCCAGCTTACCTCCCTCGTGTGGCAGTATCCAGCTTACCTCCCTCGTCTGATGGTATCCAGCTTACCTCCCTCGTGTTGCAGTATCCAGCTTACCTCCCTCGTGTGGCAGTATCCAGCTTACCTCCCTCGTGTGGCAGTATCCAGCTTACCTCCCTCGTGTGGTGGTATCCAGCTTACCTCCCTCGTGTGGCAGTATCCAGCTACCTCCCTCGTGTTGCAGTATCCAGCTACCTCCCTCGTGTGGCAGTACCCAGCTTACCTCCCTCGTGTGGCAGTATCCAGCTTACCTCCCTCGTGTGGTGGTATCCAGCTTACCTCCCTCGTGTGGCAGTATCCAGCTTATCTCCCTCGTGTGGTGGTATCCAGCTTACCTCCCTCGTGTGGCAGTATCCAGCTTACCTCCCTCGTCTGATGGTATCCAGCTTACCTCCCTCGTGTTGCAGTATCCAGCTTACCTCCCTCGTGTGGCAGTATCCAGCTTACCTCCCTCGTGTGGCAGTATCCAGCTTACCTCCCTCGTGTGGTGGTATCCAGCTTACCTCCCTCGTGTGGCAGTATCCAGCTACCTCCCTCGTGTTGCAGTATCCAGCTACCTCCCTCGTGTGGCAGTACCCAGCTTACCTCCCTCGTGTGGTGGTATCCAGCTTACCTCCCTCGTGTGGCAGTATCCAGCTACCTCCCTCGTGTTGCAGTATCCAGCTACCTCCCTCGTGTGGCAGTACCCAGCTTACCTCCCTCGTGTGGCAGTATCCAGCTTACCTCCTTCTGCATACTGTAGCTTCCCTGTCGTTTTCGACTGTCAGCAAAACAATGAAGGAGCAACGTCGCCAGCACAAGTCCATGGTACACATAGAACAGGACGAAGCGGAAGAGATGGTCCTTGTACTCCTGAAATGTTGCAATAACGGAAACATAGACCAGGACGAAGCGGAAGAGATGGTCCTTGTACTCCTGAAATGTTGCAATAACGGAAACATAGACCAGGACGAAGCGGAAGAGATGGTCCTTGTACTCCTGAAATGTTGCAATAACTGAAACATAGACCAGTTAGAACAGCACCCGCAGAATGTTTGATTGATTGTATATGTTGTTATGTATACACACAGCACACTTTTTGTTTACCTGAGTAGACCGCTATGTATATTCAGTTGGATGAGTGTTACACCTGTATTATCCCTACTGCTGTATTATCCTACTGTAGGCTGACATATTATATTCTTGCTGTATTATCCTGCTGTAGGCTGACATATATACCTGCTGTATGATCCTACTGCAGGCTGACATATATACCTGCTGTATGATCCTACTGCAGGCTGACATATATACCCACCTGCTGTATGATACTACTGTAGGCTGACATATATACCTGCTGTATGATCCTACTGTAGGCTGACATACATACCCACCTGCTGTATTATCCTATTGTAGGCTGACATATTATATTCCTGCTTTATTATCCTACTGTAGGCCGACATACATACCCACCTGCTGTATGATCCTACTGAAGGCTGACATATTTACCCACTTGCTGTATAATCCTACTGTAGGCTGACATATATGCCTGCTGTATTATCCTACTGTAGGCTGACATATATACCCGCTTGCTGTATTATCCCGGTGTAGGCTGACATACATACCCACCTGCTGCATGATCCTACTGTAGGCTGACATATACATACCCACCTGCTGTATTGTCCTACTGTAGGCTGACATATTTACCCACCTGCTGAATGATCCTACTGTAGAATGGTACCACTCCTGCCAATGTTGTCAACAGCCAAAATATGAACTGAATTCCGGATGTGATGAAGCCTCGCTTTCGTTCAACCTGAACCAAGATGGCCGCCAGCAGCTGGAGACAAGACGAACGATATGTGTGTTGACAAGACTTTTTATCACGAAGCCATTGTTCAAAAGTAACCACTCGTAAGAAGGGAAAAAAATATATTGTGACTTCCTTAAGGCATTTAAAACGTATGTACAGCAAATAAAAATGCAACAGTATTTTATGAGTATGGTAAAAGGTTGAGAGAATATTTTGACAGCTTCTGTGGTGTAAGACAATGTTGCACACTCAGTCCTTTTTTGTTTTCTTTATTTGTAAACGAACTTGTCTTTAGATGACGGTATTTTCTTCAATGAGGAAAAGTTAAATATCATAGCGGTGTTGTTGGCTGATGACTCGAGCCTGGTGGCGGACAGAGTAATTAAACTACACTGAGGCTAGATGCGTTGTATTTATATTCTCATCAGTGGGGTGTGGGCATTAATTTTGATGAAAGTAAATTATTGTTTAAAAATAGAAGGTCCATTATCAAACATGAAAAATGGTTTAACAATGGTAACATTGTGAAAACTGTTAACACATATTAATATCTACTGCTGATGGTTACTCCAAAATTGAAATGGACATAGCTAGTTTCAGCTTTATCAGAGCATGCCAGTAAAGCTCTTTGGCCAGCTAAGTCTTTAATAAGAAGTTATGAGTTATCAATTAAAAATGCTTTTAATATATTTGATCAGAAGATTGTGCCAATATTAACATATGGACCACAAATCTGGGTTTTGAGAAAAAAGAGAAAGTATTGTACACCGAAAGTTGTGTACAGTTTTTCATACAGTGTTTCATGAAACATACAGGGTACAGGCCAGCCACTGCTGTAGCCTAGGGAGAATGTAGTAGAGTTCCACTGCATACAATATATCATAGCAAATGTATTAAGTACTGTTGTAACCCTGTCTGGCGCTCGGCATTAAGGGGCTAAAACAAGGACTGGTCGGCTCGGAGTCAGTATACTGTGTCTGAGTGAGGTATTCATGTTAAACTGCTGCATGGTATCTCAGTGTGCTAGCACTATAAATCGGCATCAGTCCGGACTAGTACAAGCAGCCACACACACACATGCACGATGCTATATAAGTGCAATAATCTTGGACGCGACGTTAAACCCCATTTCACCTCACCTCACCTCGCCTGGTTTGCACAAGATATGGATGATACCAATCTATTTGTTTATAAATTTAGTGAAAGAGTTTGTGACTACGCACTTCAAGACTGGCATATGTAGCTTGATATATCACTTGAACTTTATAAGCCTAACAAATTAAATTTAACTCATGAACATTATTTTTTAGATACAAATATTTGTGTGTAAAACGACTGCTAACTAAATTTAGAAGTGGTCATAAACCCATGGTATCCAGTTGGTTCGTGATAATTGATATTTCTTACAAAGAATATGTCAGTCAACAAATGTTAATGTCATGTTAAACTCTCGAGCTTCCTGAATGGTATCCTCACAGCAAGATACATCACGTCTTAGGAAGGCATTTAGAAGTGATACAGATAAGGAAGAGAATGTATGGATGTCAACTTCTTTATTATTAGGAACACAACGTTTCGGAGTATATGCTTACTCCTTCATCAGGTGAATAAGTACGACCGATGAAGGAGTAAGCATATACTCCGAAACGTTGTGTTCCTAATAATAAAGAAGTTGACATCCATATATTCTTTTCTTTAAGATAAATCATTGTTTTATCTCTGTAAAATGGTACTCGTAAACCGTTTTGTAGTATAGGTCCGATGGCCTTCATCCAAAATAGTCTGTCTGTCTGTCTGTCTGTCTGATGCGATACTGTGAGGTAATCATTTGCGGAAATGTGCCACGCCCGCAATAAAATTGTCTCGATGCCGACTTGACTGAGGATGTTTTCTCTCTTTAATCGAAGAGTTTATACATATTTGATATCATAACACACTGTGACGAGAATGTATTTAATTTGCAAAATTGATTTAAAACATTAATTACGATGGGAAAGTAAATTAATATATGGGATCCTTTCACAACTGATGGGTACATGCATCAGGGCGTAGTAATTCCACTTTTTTGATGTGACTGAAACTGTTGCGGCCTAACGATCTTATTTATGAAGGGATCCTCACGAAATCGTCTCTTGTATGCATATGACCGCCTCCGTGGTCTTGTGGTAGAGCGTCCGCCCAGAGAGCGGAAGGTCCAGGGTTCGATCCCGGGCCGCGTCATACAAAAAGACGTTAAAAGATTGTACTTGTTGTTACCCTGTCTGGCGCTCGGCATTAAGGGGCTAAAACAAGGACTGGTCGGCTCGGAGTCAGTATACTGTGTCTGAGTGGGGTATTCATGTTAAACTGTGGCATGGTATCTCAGTGAGCTAGCACTATAAATCGGCATCAGTCCGGACTTGTACAAGCAGCCACACACACACATGCACGTGCATGCACGTCGCTATATAAGTGCAATAATCTTTGACGCGACGTTAAACCCAATTTCACCTCACCTTGTATGCATATACAGTATTTTGGCGAAGTGCAAACCATAAGTTTCTTCATCTTCTTAAAGCTGTACATTGATCATGAGTTATTCAGAAATACCGACAGTGTATTGGAGCAGCGATGTCCCTTTGTGACGCCATAGTTAAAGAGTGAATTTACGTCTTTTGTAGCGTTGCCATGCTATGACGTCACATAGGGGGGACTTTTTTACTTGTACTAACTCATATGAGTATGGTTTTACGCCCGCTTTTAGCAATATTCCAGCAATATCACGGCGGGGGACACCAAAAATGGGCTTCAGACATTGTACCCATGTCGGGAATCGAACCCGGGTCTTTGGCGTGAGGAGCGAACGTTTAACCACTAAGCTACCCGACCGCCCATATGCCAAAGACGTTAAAAGATGGTACTTGTGGTTACCTTGTCTGGCGCTCGGCATTGAGGGGCTGGTATGTCAGTGGGCTAGCAAGCACACACACACACACACACACACACACACACACACACACACACACACACACACACACACACACACACACACACACACACACACACACACACACAACACACACAAACACACACAAACACACACACACACACAAACACAAACATAAACACAAACCCACACAAACACAGAAACACAGAAACACACACACAAACACACACACACAAACACAAACACACAAACACAAACAAACACAAACACACACACACACACACACACACACACACACAAACACAAACACACAAACACAAACATAAACACAAACACACACACACACACAAACACACACACAAACACACACACAAACACAAACATAAACACAAATACACACACACACACACACACACAAGTGCAATAATCTTGGACGTGACGTTAATCACCGACTCATCTCACCCACCACCAATCCAACATTTTCAAGTTTAAATATATAACAATAACGTTATTGTTAACTTTCGGAAATTATCGGGGCGGACGGGTAGCTGGTGGTTAAAGCCCAGGGTTCGATTCAAATCATGGTTAAATTGTATGAAGCCCATGTCCGCCGTGATGTTGCTGGAATGCTGCTAACATCGGCGTAAAACCATACTCATTCGGGATTTTATCTCAAAATGATTCCCGCTGGAAAACCAAAAACAATTGTTTGACCTCAACAAGGACGAAGCGTAACTTACAAATGTAACAACTTGAAGGCCTCTGGCGGCGTACACAGCCGTGACAACATCCTCTCCATCAGTCACGACCTTCATGACATCCACGACGCAGATGAAACTCAGAAAGATGCTGAAAAACTAATTTGACATCATCAATTATTGTGTGAATCATTGGTCTGTTTGGTCCACCACGTTACACCAAGGCCCAGTCATCAAGGGGTCAGTGGGGATTCTACTCTGTAAGATAAAGCACAAATATTAACCTGCATCTACTCGGGTCTTCGGCTCCCTGTCGTCCGAGAAATCGCAATTTCCTGCGCAGAGCTGCGTCTCTTAGGCGTGCCTATTATCCTGGTTTCGAATCCCACATTTCCAGGTTTGTCAGAGTGCTCGTTTGTGTGTTTAGGTTCATGCCGCATTCAGCAAGAGTTTATGAATACCACCCACTCACTCACTCACTCACTCACTCACTCACTCAACCACCCACCCACTCACTCACTCACCCACTCACTCACTAACCGAACCATCCACTCACCCACTCACTCATCCATCCACCATCCCACTCATTCACTCTCAGTTACCCACCCACCCACCAACCCACATACCCACCCATCCACTCACTCACCCTACCACTCACTCACCCCACCACTCACCCACTCACTCACCCATCCACCCACTCACCAACTCACCCTACCACTCACCCACCCAAACACCCAACAACCCATCCAATACTAACACATTCACTCACTCACTCACTCACTCACTCACTCACTCACTCTGGCCTACCATCTTTGATGTGTTGAGCATGTTGACGCGGAGAGGTTTGGAGTCCTTGACCTTGCACAAGTAGCCCAGATAGAAGGGCAAGGTCAGCCACAGCCACCCACACGGCACCCACACAAGGAGAGTGTTCTGGAAACATGGCGTGAACTCGGGCCACCAGTTGTCAAATAGTAAACTCTCATTCTGAAACGACAATAAAACAGATGTACGCGATGCTTTATAGAGTAGTAATTTCATACACAAGTGGACGTTCTGTGTATGAAGCTGAAGGATTCTGAATCGATGATGATATTAGAGACAGTGGTTGTTTATTATTCAGTATTAAGATTGCTTTTGACTAATCTCACATGTTGGTAGGGCACCCATTATAAAATATACTGAGTCAATTCCTTGTCAAAATTGCTGTGTGGGGTCTGGCATTGTCGTGTTGGAAGATTAAACCGGGTTCCATGTGCTGCCATAAAAGGCAGAAGTTCTGGTGCCAGTACCTGGTCGCGGTAAGCAGCAGCGTTGAGGTTGCCACGGATGACAAGAAGCCTGGAACGTGCATTGCCGTAGAAAGCACCCCACACCATGACACGTCCGCCTCGAAATCTGTCAACTTCCTGTACACAACACTGGGCGTAACGTTCATGACGGCGCCTCCACACCCTCGCCCTACCATCAGCAAATCGAAGATTAAATTGGGATTCTTCACTGAAGACGACTTGATTCCAATTCCTCTGAGTCCATCGTAAGTGTCGCTTTGCCCACAATTGAACTTGACGTCTGTGTAATTGAGTCAGAATCGGCCCGCAGTATGGCCGTCGGGCTTGAAGGTGAGCAGTTCTCAGACGGTTTCGAACAGTTTGCGCACTCAGTCTACCCCTAAACAGTTCATTTCTGGTTGATGTAGCCGTCAAAAATCGGTTACGGGGATGACGTAAGACAATCTGACGATCCTCTGCATGTGACGTCACACGTGGTCGACCTTGCCGAGGGCGATCAGCGGTGGTACCCATTTGCTGTAGACGCGTCTGTAAATCATAAACAGTCCGTCGACTACAACCCATCGTCCTTGCGACTTCAGCTACGGACGTTCTCGTCTGCAACATGCCGATGGCACGTTCACGTTGCACATTTGAAAGGCGTGGCATGACAAATGGCCGTAAAGACTTTTGTTTTCTTGTGTTTTTCCTTTTTTGTTAATGACTGTATAACAAGTATGGCTGAAAACACGTGCGGTATTATGGCCACGTGACCAGTGGCACGTAAAAAAACACTTTTGCCACTATAGTGCTGTGCACATGATTTTGATCGATTCACCTGCACCTGTTATCTGAAGATAATACGTGGCCATTACTGTTTAAATACACAATAAGGGCCCACAATGATAACTGGTCAAAATGTTAAAATTTTAGGATTGTGAAGTTTTTAATTTGGTTCAGTATAGTTACATGCCAATCCTCTGGTATCTAGCAAATCGCGAATCGTCCTTCTATAAACGAAATATACTCTGCACCTATTCGCCGACATGGCTTCGAATAGAGGCGGATACATGATGCCAAAAATAGCCGTTTAATCGTCCACAAATAGCCGTCCAATTGTCTAAAAATACCCGTCCAATCGTCTAAAAATAGCCGTTTAATCGTCTAAAAATAGCCGTTTATTCGTCTAAAAATCGCCGTTTATTCGTCTAAAGATTTCCGTTCAATCGTCTAAAAATAGCCGTCCAATCGTCTAATAGCCGTTTAATCGTCTAAAAATAGCCGTTTAATCGTCTAAAAATAGCCGTTTATTCGTCTAAAAATAGCCGTCCAATCGTCTAAAAATAGCCGTCCAATCGTCTAAAAATAGCCGTCCAATCGTCTAAAAATAGCCGTTTAATCGTCTAAAAATAGCCGTTTATTCGTCTAAAAATAGCCGTCCAATCGTCTAAAGATTTCCGTTCAATCGTCTAAAAATAGCCGTTTAATCGTCTAAAGATAGCCATCCTATCGTCTAAAAATAGCCGTCCAATCGTCTAAAAATAGCCGTCCAATCGTCTAAAAATAACTGTTCAAGCGTCTTAAAAGATCCGTTCAATCGTCTAAAATTAGCCGTCCAATCGTCTACAAATAGCCGTCCCATCGTCCACAAATAGCGTCCAATAGCCTTTCACACATTTGTTTTAAGATTGAAGCAAAAATCACAAAGTCCCCACAAAATCGAAAGAACAAATCATCTGACTGTTACAGTGAGTTCACTGTGATGAGAGAATGTCCATCTAATCTGTCTGTCCGTACAAAAGAGTAGTTTTCGAGCTATCCAAAAAATACCATGGAATTGGGATTCGGATTTCTATGTCAGGTACACACATATGTGAACAGATTCAAAGTAAAACTTGTTGCCGTGGAAACGGATACAAATTAAAAAAATAAACATAACAAAGGGCAGCATTTTATCCCCTGATTGTTACGCCTGCCAAGTCTGGATGAAAAATCTTGAATGGTGTTTTTGAGTTCTGCTCCAGAAACAACACCTACTACTTTTTTCCGTGAAGATTCCGGGGTAAAAGGCGACTAACGGGATCGGGTGGTCAGGCTCGCTGACTTGGTTGATGCATGTCATCGTATCCCAATTGCGTGGTTTGATGCTCATGATATTAAGCACTGGATTGTCTGGTCCCGACTCGATTATTTACAGACCGCCGTCATATAGCTGGAATATTGCTTAGTGCGGCGTTAAACAGCCAACCAACCAACCAACGATATCCTATGTCGGATCATAACCGCAAATGTAATTCCTTAGTGAACCTCTAAACAGGTGATACCTTTAAACTTAAAGCAGCTTTATGCAAATGTATATGCCATGTCTTTATGTTGTCACCTGATACACTGAACTTTATGTGAAAGACGTGACAAACATAATTATAAAATAAGTAGAATTGTATTTAACTGTTTCAGGTATATGGCCTTTCCTACAATGGAATATATATTTTATTGTATTTGGTTTGAGATGATATTAGGGTCTATACTCATGTCATTTAATATTCTTTTCAAAGTGTGTCACCGTCCTTGTGTAGAGGGTGGGACGCCTAGTGGTTAAAGCGTTCGCTCGTCAGGCCCAAGACCCGTGTTCGATTCCCCACATGGGTACAATGTGTGAAGCCCATTTCTGGGGTCCTCCGCCGTGATATTGCTGGAATATTGCTAAAAGCGGCGTAAACCATACTCACTTACTCACTTCTCGCATAGAAACCATATTCAGTGTTAGCCTGTGTCAAGGTGGCGTTTTTTTAAAAAAACACTGCGCATTTAACTTCTTTGATAGGCATTTAGAAGTTGGAATACTAAGTAAGGATAAGAATTTATGGATGAACAACGTCTTTATTTCAATTAAGAGCGACGTTTCGGTGTAGGTTCACGTCGCTCTTCATTGTAATAAAGAAGTTGTTCACCCATAAATTCTTATCCTTACTTACTGCGCATTCAGCTTGAATATTTGAAAGGGTGTGAACAACACTAAATAGCGACACACCACCAAAAATAACCTGTTTTTAATTTGAATCACATGAACAACATAAGAATGGCTATGTGTAAGGGTTTTCAACAGAAGCGATAAGTTATCTGAACGAAAGCTAAAAATGCCAACTTGTTGTGCATTCAGTTCGGAGCATATCGAATGTCCGCCCGTGGTCCTGAATAACGACTATATGTGTGCCAGTAAGTGGTTGTTCTATAACTGGATCGTTCATCTAATGAAATATACTCACCGTACTTGAGATAATTTCTGTACGTGTTAGTTGGTCTAATTACCATATTTTATACACAGTTTGAATAAATGACAACATGATTGTAATTTATACTTACGAAAATAACAGAATCTCCGCAAAACGTCTTGAAGCTCTCGGCCATTTTGTTGCATTGTCATATACCTCCTAAACAAGAGAGCTACATCTAGAACGCTGGGGCCCTGGTGAGGGGGTTAATGTATCGCTTCTATTCTATTTATATCTATTTCAAAATTCGCGTTGTGGGAATTAATATATGTACTATATGTACTGTATCAATGGTACCATCCATTTTGTATGACATGCTGACAATTATCCGTACTTGTTTTTTTAAAACCAAAACTTTGATTCACCCTTGCAGGGCCTCTAATCGAACGGGGTTTCCCCGCGTCTAAACTGACGCACCATATACGCAGTGACAACGTCGACCGAGCGTTGTGATAACGTCCTTTCGAAAATTAACTGTTCCAGAAAATATTGAAAAATCATCATATTGCCTGAAGTTTTACAATAAATATTTGTTCGCTTGAGGTACTGGATATCAGGCAGAGAATAAATGTGTTGCTATTCAATTGTTACTCTATTCCTTGAAGCGCTATCTTGAGGGGGGGGGGGGGGGGGGGGGGGCGGTAACGTCGTGTCCAAGGTTATTATTATATTATTATACTTATATTGCGACGAACCTGCGGACTAATGCCGACTTTATAGTGCGAGCCCATGAGATCGCATGCCGCAATTTAACATGAATACTTCACTCAGACACAGTAAACTCATAGCCGACCAGTCCATGTTTTAGCTCCTTAATGCCGAGCGCCAGGCAGGGTAACAACAAGTAGTCTGTTTCAACGTGTTTAGTATGACGTGGCTTGGGATCGAACTACGGACCTTCCGCTCTCCGGGCGGACGTTCTACCACCAGGACACGGAGGCGGTCGACTGCCTTGAAGCAATGTCCGAAAACAATATTATGTCCCTAACAGTACTGCCAAGCGCACTCCAAATATAAAATACTCAGTTCTATGCATCCACTGTAGACGTGACATTCTACCATACAGGGTTTAGGAGAGATAAGACATTGAGATAAATCAATCCACTATCGTTGTGTACGTGACATTCTACCATACAGGGTTGAGGAGAGATAAGACATTGAGATAAATCAATCCACTATCGCTGTGTACGTGACATTCTACCATACAGGGTTGAGGAGAGATAAGACATTGAGATAAATCAATCCACTATCGCTGTGTACGTGACATTCTACCATACAGGGTTGAGGAGAGATAAATCATTGAGATAAATCAATCAACTATCGTTGTGTACGTGAGATTCTACCATGCAGGGTTGAGGGGAAATAAGACATTGAGATAAATCAATCAACTATCGTTGTGTACGTGAGATTCTACCATACAGGGTTGAGGAGAGATAAAGCATTGAGATAAATCAATCAACTATCGTTGTGTACGTGAGATTCTACCATACAGGGTTGAGGGGAGATAAATCATTGAGATAAATCAATCCACTATCGTTGTGTACGTGAGATTCTACCATACAGGGTTGAGGGGAGATAAGACATTGAGATAAATCAATCAACTATCGTTGTGTACGTGAGATTCTACCATACAGGGTTGAGGAGAGATAAATCATTGAGATAAATCAATCAACTATCGTTGTGTACGTGAGATTCTACCATACAGGGTTGAGGGGAGATAAATCATTGAGATAAATCAATCAACTATCGTTGTGTACGTGAGATTCTACCATACAGGGTTGAGGGGAGATAAATCATTGAGATAAATCAATCAACTATCGTTGTGTACGTGATATTCTACCATACAGGGTTGAGGAGAGATAAATCATTGAGATAAATCAATCAACTATCGTTGTGTACGTGAGATTCTACCATGCAGGGTTGAGGGGAAATAAGACATTGAGATAAATCAATCAACTATCGTTGTGTACGTGAGATTCTACCATACAGGGTTGAGGAGAGATAAAGCATTGAGATAAATCAATCCACTATCGTTGTGTACGTGAGATTCTACCATGCAGGGTTGAGGGGAAATAAGACATTGAGATAAATCAATCAACTATCGTTGTGTACGTGAGATTCTACCATACAGGGTTGAGGAGAGATAAAGCATTGAGATAAATCAATCCACTATCGTTGTGTACGTGAGATTCTACCATACAGGGTTGAGGGGAGATAAATCATTGAGATAAATCAATCCACTATCGTTGTGTACGTGACATTCTACCATACAGGGTTGAGGAGAGATAAATCATTGAGATAAATCAATCAACTATCGTTGTGTACGTGAGATTCTACCATACAGGGTTGAGGGGAGATAAATCATTGAGATAAATCAATCAACTATCGTTGTGTACGTGAGATTCTATCATACAGGGTTGAGGGGAGATAAATCATTGAGATAAATCAATCAACTATCGTTGCGTACGTGAGATTCTACCATACAGGGTTGAGGAGAGATAAGACATTGAGATAAATCAATCAATCGTTGTGTACGTGAGATTCTACCATACAGGGTTGAGGAGAGATAAGACATTGAGATAAATCAATCAATCGTTGTGTACATGATATTCTACCATACAGGGTTGAGGAGAGATAAAGCATTGAGATAAATCAATCAACTATCGTTGTGTACGTGAGATTCTACCATACAGGGTTGAGGAGAGATAAGACATTGAGATAAATCAATCAACTACCGTTGTGTACGTGAGATTCTACCATACAGGGTTGAGGAGATATAAGACATGGAGATATAGAGAATCTCACCCGAGTGTCTTTGAATATCAAATATATTAACACGAGTTGATAAAAGTGGGAAAACTCCGAGGCTTGCCGAGGATTTTTGCCACTTTTATCAACAAATGTTGATATATTTGATATCAAAAGACACGAGGGTGAGATTTTATTTATCATCCAACATCATTCTTCCAACTTTTTCAGTTTGTAGAAAGTTATAAGCAGTGTCTTAAGTGTAAAAAGCACTACTAACAGCTTCAGTAGCAGAGCGATATCTCCTGTGGGAGCCAGTTTTGGATGATAAAATTCAATCAACTACCAGCAGAAATTACCCCTGACTTGCAATAGAATTCGGAAGGAAATAAGACACAATTAATGTCTTCCAGACAACATCAATTTTTGCTTTCTACGAGATTGGCTTCCAAGATTATTGCACTTATATAGCGACGTGCATGCACGTGTGTGTGTGTGTGTGTGGGGGGGGGGGGGGGGGGGGGGGGGGGTGTGTGGCTGCTTGCTGCTTGTACTAGTCCGGACTGATGCCGATTTATAGTGCTAGCTCAATGAGATACCATGCCGCAGTTTAACATGAATACCCTACTCAGACACAGTATACTGACTCCGCGCCGACCAGTCCTTGTTTAAGCCCCTTAATGCCGAGCGCCAGACAGGGTAACAACAAGTACCACCTTTTAATATATATATATATATATATATATATATATATATATATATATATATATATATATATGACACAGACGTCTTAATGCAATACGCATATTAAATGGAATAGATGTGATACTCAGTATCACATAAACATATACGAGAATGCAAAATAACATTGTTCCTACCCGGTGTATGGCACGAGGATGCACACGACGTTCACTAAGCTCAGCCAAGCCAGATATACCAAGCGTACCTAAAATCTGTGTGAACAATATGCAACATTAATTCTACAGTGACAACAAATCAACATATCTGTTGCCATTACCAACGCATGGAACATATCAAAACAGCTTTGGCTAAAATCACATTCGTACTTACATTCACAGATACACTATTCTTTCTATCATATATGGAATCAGTCAATCAAACACTCAAACATGCAACAATTCACTCATAGGGAAAATATAATTACCTGAATGAATTAGATGAGTGAGTGTGAGTGAGTGAGTTTGATTTTACGCCGCTTTTAGCAATATTCCAGCAATATCACGGCGGGGGACACCAGAAATGGGCTTCACACATTGTACCCATGTCGGGAATCGAACCCGGGTCTTCGGCGTGACGAGCGAACGCTTTAACCACTAGGCTACCCGACCGCCGCATGAACTAGATGAGATATTTGATAGTTTTTATATTAATTCCATACCCCGAAATGCACTAAAACCTGACTAAACTTTAAAATCTTGCACAAAATCAATTCAATTCAATTTCTTTATTCAACGTACTGAGGAGGCCACAGGCCTATAGTACAATCATGATTACAGGAGCAATTGGTACAATCATATAATTTCCAAACTTGATTTTCTTTGTATAAAAGCATGATATATGTACACTTTTCTTAGTTCACCATAATGCGGACATACTAGTAAAAAGTGATACTCGTCCTCAATTAATCCTAGGTCACATAGTGGACAGAGTCTATTTTCTCTCGGAATTTTTTTATATCTACCTTTTTCAATTAAAAGATCGTGTGATGAACATCGGAATCTTGCAAGTGCTACCCTAAATTTTCTAAGACTAACACTGAAAAGGTATTGCTCTGCAATGATATATGACTTGAAACTGCTATATAACAGGGACTTTGGTGAACGCGTTAGAGTTGCATTCCATGACTGAAAATATAAATCTTTTAATCTTTGTGTTAAAGCATTTATGAACAACTTCGGACAAAATAATCCAACCACAGCTGCCAGCTACGCAAACTGCTGGTCGAACGACTTATTCTGATATAGTGAGTGAGTGAGTGAGTTTGGTTAAACGCCGCTTTTAACATTATTCCAGTTATATCGCGGCGTGTCAGCTTAATGTGGGAGGAAAGCCCGAAGTGATGCAGGTCTCAGACGTTTACCACTTCGGTGAAACCCACGAGCACGGGTATGGTGCTGACAAACCTAGAAACATAATCGGGTCGAACCGGGATTCGAACCCACAATCATAGGTTTCTGGCGTGCCCAAGGGACGCAACTCTGCACAGCGAATGGCGGCGCCTTAGACGACTGGGCCACCCGGGCCTCCTATTCGAATATAGGATACAGTAACGCAGTGCGCATGCAAAGGGAGGCAACCGAGCTACATGGGATCCGTTCTTTTTTGTATCACAGCATTCCACTGCTGAGGTCGTGTGTCCGAAACCAATTTTATTTTTTCTTTATTAAATAGAAGTAAAAACGAAACGT